GACGTCGACAAATTGCCAAAGCCAACGGCAAATTTGCGTATCGCTACGTTGTAAAGACGTCGTAAAAGTTACCACGACCACTTTGCAACCTCTCGGACAAGTTTGCAAAGTCTTTGCTACGTCATGTGCTATTTGGGGTTGGTTGCAGCTTACGATTTCAGTTTTTAAACCATACATAGTACCTATTCAGTAAAGACTTTTTTTTTATGATGGCAATGAGTCTAAAAAATCTTCCGTTCTTCTGACAAATATATTTAAATTAGATAAAAAAAGAAATACATACTGCAGTTCTAAATAAAAAATTTTCTTTATTGGAAATCAAGTTTGAAATTTGAGATAAACTTTAAAAATTTAGCAATTCTATGTTTTAGCCATATATTTATTTTGTCTACGATGAACTTCTAACGTACTGAAAAAGATTAATTGAGTTTTAACCTCTAGTAATGTAATATCTAACGCAATCTCATCTGATTTTATTGTAAAATATATATGTATGGAAATCGATTTCTTTTGAATGTAATATATTTTTCTTTTCAGGTTAATCTGTTGGATGGAAAACGAAGTTTGAATGTTAATATATTCTTAAAGCAATTCCGTAGGTAAGCATTTTTGTAGGTAATATGTAATTTAGGACACGAATTGAATAGCTTAGGTAAATTCCAAACCTATCATAATTATGTCATTGTGGATGTGAGAATGGTGCAACACTGCAATTAAAATAAGTATTTATTCTAATATGCAGAACTTTTCAGTCCTGAGATGAATAAATTTTGCTTATTTGATTTTAATAGCATTAGTAATTTATTCAAACTGTAGAGCCATTAGGTATTTTTTGAAAAGCAGTAGACGGGAAAAATGAGCAACACCTTCGACGGGAATAGAACCATGGAATTCTGGAATACGCCGAGTGTGCTACCGTTACACAACGAAGACACACTAAGAAGGCGGGAGAAATACCTTATAAAACTATAAAGTTCTTGTTAATTTACGTGTCCTTAGCTACTAGAATTTTAGAGAACAATCTAGCAACTATTCGCTAGTCTTCTTGCGATTTTAAAATATAAGTACAAAGAAGGGTTAAAACACCATTTTATTCACTCAAAGAAATATTGCAGACGGCCCCTCTCGGGCTTACAGGAAAGCCTCCTCTCGGGCTTTAACTTAAGATAGAAAATAAGGATCTAAACTAATTCTAACTAGCTGAACTTTAGCCGAAGCTGTACAAAAATAACTAACCGAGCTGGCCCGTAATTAAACATCACCGACGAATACTAACAGGCGCGTAAGACTGCGGCCGAACGTAGTAATACAGGCTTAAATTAACGACGTTGCCCGAAGGTAGAATACGCTTTACTGAGAACATCTGAGCTCTTCTACGGAAGTGACTGAACTTCCCATAAATACTGGTTCTACTTCATTTACATAAAACGCGATACTGAAATCTCATTCAGGCAGACAGTTGTAGGTGTAAATAAGAATTTAAAGGAAAGGGTTTCAAAATTAAAAATACCTATTAGAAAATTAAAATAATCCCTACAAAACCAATTATAACGTATCAAAAGAGCTGCATGTAATTTATTTTGTTCAAATACCAGTTTTTATTTTCAAATGTTGCAACCAGTTATAAATGTTAACCAGTTATTTATTCCAAAAGTAAACTATAACTATTGCAGGGCAATTATTGAACAAAAAAATAATTATTTAAAATATGTCTGTTCTTCATTAATACCTGTAGTTTTACTCTTTAGCATAAATGGGTTTTTTTTCTTATGCTTTTATAATTGCATAAATGTGACTGTAGGATAATCTATCATTATCGCATGCTTCATGCATAGTTTTAGACTGTTTTACAATTACGGACTAGAAATGTCTCTTTTATAGGTAATAGTTGCCTCAGTCTTCTATACAATCTTTCTATATAAACACATTTAAATTTCACTTTTTATTTTCTGTTCAGTTCGTGACAATTATTCCTCAGTTTTGCTAACAGTAAGTTTTGAATTAAATTACATCCTATATTTCTTGGCACTATACGATATTTGAAAGTTCGACCACCAGAAAGTTCGGCAAGAAGCCCACAATTCATACTGTGCCATGGCTTACCCGTCGAGCGAATATTTGCCCTATCATCTGTGCTCTACAGAAAATAGTAATACTTGAATCGGTCTTGTTTAGAGATTTCTTTCATGCAACCCATGGCAAACATTACACCTACTTCTTTCGTCTCAATAGGCAATTGCGAAACGTAGTGAGATATCTAGCTATTGCTTGGGGATATCATTTTGCTCTTAGAGTCATTTTTGTCTTCGTCAAAAGTATTAGCCCTTGAATAACCTTGTCTTTCGGAAAGACCTGTATTGCAAATTTCCGTCCATATTCTTTATATGATATTTAGTTTTTTGGAGAATACCTGATTAGGACTGATTCCCTGTCTAACAGAACGATAACTCTCCATCACCGCGATTAATCGAAATACTATCTTTAAAATATTTTCAGCAAGAGCTAAACATGCCATAATCTTCCATAAACTTTCCATAATCTGTTAGAATGTGAAGTAGGTTTCAATGCGCATCATATTAAGGTGTCTTTATTTGCCCATTTTTGATCTAAATCTTAGCAGCCTTCTGCAAAAACAAAAACGCTCCGATCTGCCAATGCTTCACATAATAGTTGTGCACGAAATTTGTAGTTTTCTTTAGCGCGTCTTTCATAATACATCTGTTTTAAAATATCCTTTAATAAGTTTCTACTTATCTGTGAGTTGAAAAAGACCAAATAAAATTGTATTATTTTTTTGTTTATGAAGCCTTTATAACAAAATTTTTCTTTTCTACTGCTACAGCTCAAATGATGAAATAATCAACATTTTAAAACGAGGGGCTCACGATGAAATCGGAGCAGAGAAGCTGCGAGGGCTTTTAAAAATTCTTCCCGAATCTGACGAAGTAAGTATTGGATGATTTTTTTTTCAAACATTCTTTAACTTCATCTCGTATTTTGTCGTTTATGGGAAATAAGGTAAAAGAATTAGTATATGATTAAATTTTTATGCATTTTGGTTTTCTTTATATTTCAAATTCAAAATCACAATATTTGTCTGAAATCATTCTTGAATCTGGGCAAACCAAACCGCTGGAGGTTCTCTCACCTCTCTTTACTTACTGCAAACCTCTCGAGAGGACTTTGAGTGCTCCCCCCTTTCCACTCAGACAGTATTATGTCTACAAACATCCACGCCTTCAAGATTCCAACCCAGATCCAATGGTACGACAATCAGCGTCACTATGCACTATATCGGCTGCGCAGAACTTCGAAAATGAAATAACTGGCATTGAAAGTAAGTCCCAAATTAATCATATGTTAACATTCCTTCAAAAAACAATGCAAAACACCGCGAAAATTCATTTAATATCAAACGTCCGGTGATATCAAAAAGATCAGTTTGTGCACAGCCACACGACACAAAACCAGACTTTTGAAAAGAAGAATGAAGAACGCACAATCTGAGGAAGAAATAATAGATGCATACCTGCTCTTCGCAAAGTAAAGAACAATACACAAAAGAAAAATCCGGGAAGCGAAATTAAAATGCTGGAGTAAGTTCGTAACAGGAAACGAACATCCCTACTGGCCCGTATACAAGTTTGCTCAAATGAAGTTTCTCGCTCAAATCAAATTGTAATTCAATAAACAACAAATAGCGCAAGCACAGAGGATGCTACAACAGAAAACGTTAAAAGTATAATGAATTATGTTCTTCAACTCCTCAACGACTATTCACAGAACGACTCAGCTCCGCAAAAGGAGAGAAAAAACACAGCCCCGTACGGAATGGGTAACTCCCTGATCCAAATCCTTCACAAACAATTTCCTTTATTCCTGTAAACCTTTAATAAATGTCAGTATATTAAGTTAATTCCCTCCAGCTTCCAAATGGAGCAAATTATTCTCTGGAGAAAGGAAAAGGCAAGATGCATTGAACTATGTTCCTACAGGCATATCAATTTATTTCCATCTCCAGGCAAAGTCTTTGAGAGAGACCTTGCAAACCGCCTAAGTCATCACATTAAGTAAGAAAACTGCGCACGTCAATTCCAATTCAGATTCACTCCGAACGGAAGTACCATTCATGCTATAAATACAGTAATACGGCAAATTTCGAATAACTAATCCCAGAATATGCATTCGGTGTTACTCTGCCTCGATCTTATAAAGGCATTTGATTCTCTCTAGTGGCCTGAAATCTTAAACATACTCAGGGACATCAAATGCCCGTAACTTATCTACAAAACCTTCCAAAGGTACCTTTATAGACAGAAAAAATATTATTACAACCAATAACATAATAATATCCAAGAACAATAATAACCAAATCGAAAAGAAGCGAGAACGAGGCTGTCCGCAGGGTTCTTGCCTTATCTCTTCTCGAATCTGGCGTTCGATAAAATTATCCAACATAAACGGCCATCGCACCTCAAATGCATCGCTTGCTCCGATGATGCGGCTTTTGTTGTCAATGGTATAACTCGAGATCTGCTCGAGAATAGTGTAAATAGCACATTAAACATCTTTGACAAACTATGCAAGCAGAAAAAATGAAAATTCACAAGCAGCTATCTTCAATAAACTATCATAGAAAATTAGCAGAATTCCAAAATTCCTGTAAAACTTTAATAACCTGCCAAACTTGCCTGTAAAACCTGCCAAAGTTCCATATCGAAAATAAAAACCTCAAAATCGTAAAATCTATGAAATATGTCGACAAAATTAAAGATAATAAATTGAACTTTATGGACGATCTCGATTAAATCAAAAGCAAAATCTCTAAAACAGAAGCAAACCTATTGATAATGCATGAAACTGGATGGGGCACAAACTCGAAAATACAGAAGATGATTTATATCTCAGTCGTTGAAAAAATAGCTGCATACGAAGCAGCAGTTTGGGCAAAACCAATGTCTACCTGTAAACTGTAAAAACTACAAAAATTTTCAAGACTTTTTTGTTCTCAATTACACCAGGGGATAGAGGATAACATCGAAGGCTGCATTGTGCCAGATTGTTCAAATTTACCCTTCTTTCCACAGCAGCTGAAAAAAAGTATAGGAAAGCCTTAAGTAAGAATTGACCCCCCCCTCAATTCAAAGCTGGATACTACTCAACTCCCTGAGTGACATCCTGCAGTGAAGAACAATATAACTCTCTGCGTCAACAAATAGCCGTTCATAAACAAATTTCCACAAATTTACACGAATGGCTCTGGCCTGGAATGTGGGAAAAGATTTGTGCCAGCCAGTTCACATAAGAGCCAAAGTTTCACTTAAATATAGAAAATAGTTCATTCCAAACTCCAATTGCAATAACAGAATGGGTTCTGTGATTCACGGATACACAACTCCTTTAAAATCTCTTATATTTTTACAGATATCTGTCAAGCAGGCAATAGCCTCGCGAACGAATAAATTCCCAATAATCCAGGAAATCTTCAACACTGCCTCTAACATAACCAACCAACATTTCATAATATCATGGATCAAAGCCGATGTCAGCAACAGGGGCAATTAAGAAGTGGATGCCCTAGCAAAGAATCTGAGGGAATTAATGCAACAAAACTAGCCGCTCCATGGCCAGGCTTCTACGTTAAGATGTAACTCAAAAATACATTCCAGAAAGCATGGCAACATTGGTAAGATTCCGCCGTAAAGGACAGGCGCCCATAAGACCAGTATCCAAGAATAAACTCCACTTCAAACTTCATAAGCAGACAAATAATATGATCGATCTCGGACATGGTTCTTTCCCCATGCATTCTTACAAGAGGAATCTCTCACTTTCAGATATATTCCTAGATTTAGAGAAAATAATCAAACCACTTGAAATCAAGCACAGTCTCCATCCAAATAGTCTGAAGCGCCTAAATACACCAGAAAGTCAACGAACCAATATGAGTAAACTACAACTGTTCCGAAATATCTCAACAATAACCAAAGTATATAATACAATATTTCTAAATAAACTGTAAAACACGCATTAACCCATTGTTAAAATGCGTAATTTGCTGATTCTAAGCTCAACTTTAGCATAAATGCACTCGCAATGAGACTGGCACGAAAGTATGCATTAAAAAGGAATTCGGAGCATATGGTATCTCTAAGCAAGGTAAGGTGAACATGCAATCATATCGTACGCAGTTTAAATCCTCCACTAGCCCAAACAGGCAAACGTATAACTTAAGCAACAGTGTAGTGTATTCCTGTTGTAGCCATTGTGTGTATATAATCTATAATGTATAATTCGAGCATCATATTCCAACTACTGTATTTATAAAATGTATAATTTCAACATCAATGTAATCCTGTTATAACAAACGAATGTATACACATCATAAGTGATCAAAATGCATGTCCATATTTAGACAGTAGGGTAACACAGTTGTATCAGTAGTGTGCATATAATAAATACTTCAAACATCAGTGTATTATAACCATTGTGTATATACACTGCGTAAGTGAACAAAATGCATAAACTGTCAAATGTTCAATAACCGAACGCAGATTCACAAATTACCTGCTCCATCGGTTTAAAAAATGTCAATATTTAAGTAATAATGAAATCATATGGTAACCATTATGTGTAAATAATATGAATTAAGTTTTAACTACTAAGTGCATATCAAATATATGTGAACAAATTGTATCAATTTTTATCTATATTAAATTATGTTCAAAATCGTAAAATATCCAATGACCTATATGCAACTGCAGACAGCAAATGTTCAATCTGATCAAGTTTACAACGTTGCAGTTTGAATAATGTAACAGCTACGTAATCATTGAACATAACTGCTGTAACATAAACGTTTCAATAATACCGTAGGTCTGGGCATACGGCGGGACAACCAGTGGCACCGCCGGCAGTGGCAGAGCCTGCGATGTCGGTCGCACTAGACAGCAGTAGCACCTCAGCACTAGAACGGCACTATGGACTCCAGGAAGACGTTAATCTGTATAGTTAGTGTAAGGGTATTTACTTACTTAACTCAGGGTAAATAAGTTAACCCTGCACTTATACCTCACTTAACCTATACCGGCTGGTTGGCCATTCGAATAAGATAGTATGCAAGTAGGAAAATAAAAAGGGGATTCAAAAAATAACTTACAGCTCTCGTCACCACCCGCCAGAATTGGGAAAAAAGGATGGTGGGTGCACAGGATAACTCTATGCCCACGTCATTGTATGGAAACAATGTCATTATTATAGTTGTAAGAAGGGTATCGAGCACAAGAATATAATGGTGCATTCTTCCGAAGTTAAAAGGCAAGAACAGTACGATTTTGGGGAGGGAGAGCAAAGCATCTTAATTGGGCGGGATTCTTTATGAAATTATGGAGGTGAAGCAAAGATTGCCATACCCAGTCATAATTATAATCAAATTGGGACAGCAGTTCGGACATGGCTGTATGGACTTAATTGATACAATCGATAAGGAAAACCTTAAATCTCGATCACAGATGAAACTGTGCAGAAATCTAATAAAATGGTTTACAGCGATCGTAAAGTGACAGTCTCAGAAACTGAGGGTGAGTTCGAGTCTAACAGGCAACCATTTTCAAACGATGAAAGAGTGCAAACAAGGATTTTACGATGGTTCTGTGACGAAGGAAAAGAATTTTATCCGCAGAGAATTTAATAATTGGTTGAAAGTTCAGACAAATGCTCACAGAGACTGTGTTATTATGATAAAAAGAGTGTGATATATGCCTGTCACGCTGAATCTCAGGATGCCGCTGAATAAATTTTCTTGAAATAAAATAATCAAGTTTAACCTATTTTTTTAACTCCCTACATATACATATACTGTCACGAAATGCAAAATTGTGGTGAGATAGTTTCCCTACAAAGTGGGTATAGGGTTGCCAAAGTTGGCGTGAAGTCGCTTATTTGGCGACAAATTTGGCGATATGCCATAGACGGATGGAGAACATTCTGGAGCAAATTGTTACCGGTAGGCCCAGAATGTTCTCGAAGGCAGACCAAAGCTATATAAACCCTTCCTGTACGTAGAGTAGGGATGCATCGCGAGAGCGTATCGTCAGTCTATCGAGAGTGCATCGTCGAGATTTCTTTTGAGTGTGTTGAGCTCCGAGAGCGATCGACCGAGTCGGGAGCTGTACTTTAGTGTTTTGCCGTGAAACAATCTCAGCCATTACAGCCTGATAGCCTGAAGGCTGTGAGCGTGTTTGTCGTAGTTTTTCGACGGCTGTAAATGTGACTCTGGAACTGTCCTGAGTAATATTGGCTAAATAAATTGTGTTTTGATTGTTCGTCAATTGTTGTCGTCAATCACTCGAAATCCACGAATCCGTAGAACGCAACAATATATATATATATATATATGAGAAAAATTATTTCTACTTAAAATAAATAATGGTATTTTAACTTAATAAGAATATTTCACTTTATTAATAACATCCCAGTTAAGCAAAAGATAGCATTCTACTTTGATTTCAGTAATAATATAGCCTGGCATTAACTCGTCACTCAGAGTGAAATTCTCTTATTGTCTTCTTTAAAATTAATGATTTCACTGTACATTGACGTAATTCGATATACAATGGTATCATTTTCTGCCCCTTATTCTGAACTATTACTAATATTTAATGGGATTTTCTACTCACCATACCCCCTTAAGGGCTTATTTACTTAACGGTATTATGAGGGACGCTCAGATATAAACAGGAATGCATCAACTAAACATTATTTATTAAATACAATGAACGGACTTACAACCTATTTTTCTGTGCAGTTCCTGGGCGCTGGAACCAGCGCCCAGGAAGTTTCTTATACCAGAAGAATAAAAGTATTTTAACTGCACATTCAATCCATTATTGTGTATGGTGTCATTATTCTTCACATTAGACTTGACCTTTTTTCCCATCTAAAAATTTCTAATTTATGTTGATCTTTAACTAAAGATTCGACATCGCCAATACTTATATTAAATTCCATAGCGATTTGCCTCATGGTGATTCGCCGATCGACTCGAATTAGGGCATCAGTTGCAGCTAGCTTGTCTTCATCGGTTGAGTTTCTTGGCTTACAAGCATGAGGTTCTATTTCAGTTCTCTTCAGGCCTTCCTTACATATTCTACATATTCTTAGATTACATATTCTTAGACTAGGAGAAGGACTCATCTTCAAACTGATTTTTATATCTCGCATAAATCTTAGACTGAAAGAACCATTCCTTAATCCAAACACTAGTGAATTCACTGTGAAACACTGCTGCGAACTTCCTCCTCTTACATGTTGATTACAATTAAAAGATGTGATGGAAAGAGAAATTAACCCTTTTATTGACACATTCAAATCTGTATGTATTTGTCCAATGAATCATTATTATGTTCAATTCCTTGCAAGAAGAGTTTGATAATTACTGTTTATATTCGTTAGTTCCCCCATATAATATTTTTACACTACGATGGCACTGCTCGATTTATGCCAAGATCCACGTCGGAAACAATTGACAAAAGAAATAAGGCGTATATATTGCCTCAATGACCAGTAACGATTGAGGAAAAAAATATAGTTCACGTGTTGTGTCATCATTTTTTAATGGTCGTAAGAAGTTTCCATATCTGTTATACTATCTAACAACGAATAATTGAGAATCATAAAGGATTCCATAAAGTACATCGGGTATTAACAGTGTTATGCACTGTCATTCAGAAAAGAAAAATTGTTGAAACTATTAGCTATAGTCTTAGTTGAGTAACGCACTGTAGTACAGAGGCCCATTACAAGCCGAATGAGTAAGACCGCTGAACTCTGATATAGTTAAATCTAGGTTTCAATTGCAGGAAACGAACTGACTGCATGCGGCATGGCTTTTCCCATTGTAACCAAGACATTCCTCTGTTAGGCAAATAGCCGTTGAGTGCTTTGCCTTAATCAATCAATCAAGTAGCTAACTGAAGTACAGAAGAATACTAGGCTGGTCGGATTTGGCAGATTCTGAAAAGAAAACAGACTCTGGTAAACTCCTGGTCGCCACTGACTAATGAGGTCTTCCGCGATACTGTTTCCGCTTACATGTTTTTATCTGTCGCTTCTTATGTTTATCTGTTATCTTTGCTACACTAAAACAGACTTTTAATTTAATTTGTGAATTTCAAATTGTATTTAAACTATAATCTCTTTATGTCCTAAATCATTATTTTTAATAAATACTTGATGCGGGGTGTGCATGGGACTGCACGATGTACGATAATAGATGAACTCTAGATCCTTTGGAAAGCTTCATTTGCTCATTTCCTCAACCCTTTTCTTGTAAATTCCTATAAAACGTTTAAATTTTTTTAATAGTTAGTATGGGAAGACATTACCAATTGACCATGGTGCATCGCTGGTGTCCCCCCTTTTACCTGTACCTGTTTTCGCATGCAACTAGTGACGGTAGCAAAAAATCACGCCTCCTAATGTTATTCTCTCGAATTTTTAACGTCGCTTAAATCTTTTTTTCTTACTTCTCAAAAGAATCAACTATTAAAACAATATTTAATATTTGTAATAGATAGACAGTTCGTCACTGACCGGTTGGGCAGCCCAGTCTTATTGAGTTATAAGTAAAATATGTATTACATTAAACTAAAATAAAATAAGGCGAAATAATATTTGCAGAAATAATCTTCCTGATTATTTTTGTGTTTTACATATATGCAGGGTGATCTGTATTAGCGTGGTAATCCCAAGATAACTAAGACAATATCATCTTTAAGGATTATCCTAGATGACGTGAAAGTTTGTAAGAAAGTTTTTAGGTAAAAAACATTTAAGGATGAAATTCTTTCTTAATTATCCAAAAAAGATTGTTTATATTTTTGACAGGTTTTTGAAAAGTAAGTCATTTTGGAACGTCCAGGAATTGAAATAATAGTCAACCACAATCATAAAAAAGATTAATTATTAGACTATATGTAGATTAGTCTAATAGTTATTATATATAATAATTACTATATTATAGTCTAATAGTTATTATATTATATATAATTATTATATTATAAGGTAAATAAGAATTATTATTAGACTGATAGTCTAACAAAGTTACATTTCCCGTTGACTGTTTTCCTTAGCTTAGTGAAAAGGCTATTTCTCCCGCCTTCCTAGCGTGCCTTCATGGTATAGTGGTTCTGTACGCTGGGCCGGGATTCCAGAGGTCCGTGGTTCGATTCCCGGCGAAGGCGTTTGCTCATTTTTCATCTTGCCTGCTTCTAAAAATACCTAATGTCTCTACAGTGGTGCCCGAACTAAAAGGGAGTTGGATGATGATTTCTTGGAGATTGGGTCCCCTAAAAATTCCCAGTCGCCCTTTAAAAGAGGGGGTATATAAGGAATTTCTCCCGCCTTTCTAGCGTGTCTTCGTGGTGTAGTGGTTCTGAACGCTGGGCCGGTATTCGAGGTATTCCAGAGGTCCGTGGTTCAATTCCCAGCGAAGGCGATTGCTCTTTTTTCATCTCTCATGCCTCCAAAATACCTAATGTCTCTACAAGGTTATGAAAATATTTCTTCGTCATCCACTTCCTTTTCTAAATACTTTAAATTATGTATTTCACATGCGTAATATCAATGGATAACAGATATTTCCTTTTTAAATTATTTGGGATAAACGAATCTATAAATGATATAAAATAAGAAGAAAAAGAACTTAAAAAATTATTTCAAATCAAGGAAACTAAATTTTGTAAATACGTGAAAAGGAAATGATCAATTACCATATAATTACTGACATTAATTCATTATGCAGATGTGTTTAAATGCAATAAAAACAAACTTTTATTAAAAATAATCTACTGTTGAACTTATTTTTCCTTTTAAAATACAATGTATCTCTTTCAGATCGAACTTTTACGAGGTTATAATGGTGACCGAACTAAACTAGGAAACGCTGAAAAGTTCTTGCTGCAGCTGATAGAACTGCCAAAGTAAGCTATTTTTTAATTGAATATTTCCATTTCTAGATGCTACAATCTGATTTATTTTTAATAATCTTTTGTCTCTACTCAATCAATTTCAGTTATAAACTCCGTTGTGAAGGAATGTTACTCAAAGAGGAGTTTGCTTCAAATATGGCTTTCTTGGAACCAGCTATTGAAAATATAATTTCCGCAGTTGAAGGTGAATATTTCTTTTAGATGATGGTTTTAAATATCTTCTTCAAGGTATTAAGACTCAAATGTCTTCAAGCAGTAAAGTTGTTAGATTATTAAATTAGTATTCAACTTTTTAGGCAAATATGTTGCAGATCTTGGTTACTGGCTTGCCAGTATTTGCATACTATTGCTCCTATCTCGGATGCATTTCTCAGTAGCATACTAGTAAGTAAGCCAGCTTCAGTAGGCTGCTTACATCTATATTAAGGTTGAATTTAACTGTCCTACTGAAAACATCATTTTAGTTTTCTTGAGACTGCTTGCATATTTTTTGTTTTTGGAGAAAGAACCTTTTATTGGTTAAATAAAATTTAGGAAAAGTTTTTAAAAATTTTACAGAAAAAAATAGCATTTGCGAAGAAGTGAAAGTACTAATTAACTTACAAGATTTAGTGACGCTTTTACGAAAAATCATTACGATATTAAATTGCAATGTTTGAAATGATATCCTGGTAGAAATTTCGGAATATCATCAAATTTTCACATGTAGAAAATGAAAATCTTTAAATTCTGTATTTGTGTAATTAATTTCTCTGATGCCGCCCTACAAAGTATATTACATAGTAATAAATAAATGAGAAAAAAGGGTGAACTCGGAAACAAACATACATCTAATTAATTTCGTTTTCGAATGTCCTTGAGTACTTCGTTAAATACGAGATACGTTGTTTTCTTTTCTAGTACATCAAAAAAAGGGCATTTACGCTTTTAAGCGTGCGATTTTATTCACATTGGCCTCTTTGAAGAAAACGTTAAGTTCATTTGCAAGGATTTGTTTTCATTAATTCCATGCAATGATACTAGTTAAACTTTTATTGCACAAAATTTAGAAGTGTAAGAATATAGATTTTAATTAATTATAAGTGTAAGCATATCAATAAGTATAATTACAGAAATAAAAAACTGAAAGAATTGTAATTTTTACTAAAAGACCATTATGGGAATGCCTAATTTCAAAGCAAACGTAAATTAATATCTATTATAAGCATGTTTCAAAATCATTCGTAAATAATCATACATATGGTAAGAGCATTATAAATATTGTTAAAAATTTTTTGAGAGATGTAAATAAACTTATGCTTGTATATATTATGCCCATTTAGAACATTTTATTCATTTCATCTGAATAGAAATTTTTTATGATGCAATGAAAGTACCTAATTTAATTTCTGTTCTTTTTCGTTTACTTAAAAAAGAACTTAAGCATTGTCAAGAATTACATGAAGTTCTCTACATGCTTTTGGTTGCTGGTAATTTTCTGAACTCGGTAAGCATTAACGTCATAGTAATCAAAATTTTCTAAGCAATAATTTTGTTTGCAATTAATGTCATTTTATTTTATTTTATTTTATTTTATTTTTTCTTAAGGGTGGTTACGCTGGCGATGCAGCAGGATTCAAGATGATGTCTTTACTGAAAGTCGCTGAAACTAGAGCCAACAAACCAGGAATGAATCTTATTCATTATGTTGCTCAAGTAAGCTTATCAAAGAATTCCCCTTTTTTGCATGAACTTACCAAAATAAAATGGGAGCAACTTACTCTGTTTCCTATGATTCGCAACAACTTAAATATCAAAAACTTATAGCATTGCTGTTGTGTTGTAATTACAGTAGGTGTTAGAGGAAGACAATAGGGTACGAACTTAAAAAAAAAGGATTTATTTCAGTATGTAATCTATTGACTTCGATACTTTCATTGCATCAACATTCAAAAGTCCTTCTCTAGCGCATTTTTATGGCACCTAAACAAAACATTGAAATGAGGGTCAACTTATAACAAAAGAAAAAAATTAATTCCTTGTATCCAGAGAAAAGTATTTAATCCTTTCTCTCTGGTAAGAAGAATTAATTCTTTCACATGAAATTCTTCTCTTAGCTGCATGGGGTTTAGAATATTTAGCATTTAAAAATTAAATTAAGTTATTTTTCAGGGGGATATAAATAAAGTCATTTTCTAAAGTAACGGAATCTTTAATAATAAAGTACAGCAAATTCAGTACAATAAAAAAAGTACTGAAATATAAAATCTTCCAGAAATTTCCTTTTAAATTCCTGTCTTATAGAAATTCTTCATGATGAAAAAAAAATTGCAACTTATTTATATGAATAAAATGTTAATAAGTATTAGAACACTGGAAGAAAATCGAGTGATTCTTTTAAATACGTACAGATAGGAAAAATGTATTATTTTGTTGAGAAAAAATTAATTGTTGATGTATTTGTAGATAACAATTACATAATTATTTAACATACATAACAAGCATTTATACATAACAAGAAGCTTGATAAGGTGGGTTTGAACATGCCCAGAATAAAAAAACTGCGGAGGACTACGAATTCGGTTACTGCAACTAAAATCATAAAACTTTTGCAGTATAGACAAGAATAGACTTCGTACTCCTCCTTTCCGAGTTATGGATTCAAAACTGGCCCGTAACTTAGAATTTTTTGTTTATGATTTCTCATATTCACAGTTATAATAAATAACTAAAATCTAGATTCACGTGTGATGTATAAATGAGGTAAATGGGCTGAATTGCTTTAATTTCAAGCTACCTCAATGCAAATATTGTGGCAAAGAGTCTTATTTTCAAGGATGCAAGAGATTTCAAAAATTTGGAATTATATTAACAATTAAGCAGCAATTTCAAGAAAAGTCAATATTAGGAGAAAAATATTTAGATGTGAAAATATCGTCGAAAGAAATAAAGCAATTTTTAAGTTGAGAGCATATAGTGTTAATTATCTTTGAAAGTAGTTGCTCATGAACTTACCTCTAAGAAGATGAACGTGTAGAAACCTCGTGAACAGATAAGCGAATAATCACTTGTTTGGGAACAGAGACGTAAAACTCAAGAAGGGTTAATTATCCTTTATTACACAAAATAAGAGTGTACAGTCGGTCCTTTCTCAAGAGCGTACGGCAAAGCCTCCACTTCGGCTTGAACTCAAAATAATAAGAAATAAAACTTAACTAAAAGACATAGCCGAGGCTATCAAATTTCTACCTAGTTGACCCCTAAATATCGAATAAACTGGCGAAGCTATCAAGAGCCTGTAATACGGCCGAGCGTAGTAACAGCTTAGAGAGCCGTAGACAAAAGGCAAGCGCGCGCTAGTCAGAATCTCTGGCTCTCTAATGAAGTCAGTGGAACTTCGACTTAAATACCGCTCTTACTCATTTGCATTAACCGAGATTCTAAAAATACATTCTGGTAGGAAATTGTAAGATGAATTTAGGAAGGATAGGAAAGTAGCTTTAACTAAAGATAACTGTTAAAAACTTCGGATAAACGGTAAACCTTACAAATCTACAGTTCATTTTGATATTTAATCCACTATTCATTTGTAAAATGCTGATTAAAAGCTTCATTCAAACTAGCGCCTGCTGTAAAGTACCATACGTTGTCCCGACAGTGCTATCACAACCTGAGACGTCGTACTGTCGGATTTGCATCCACTGCCCACATTAAAGGAGGGTTAGTTTTTATTTATTTTCCTAATTTATTACAGGCGTTAATTTTATTGCTTTATTTAAAGTTACTTTCTTGAATGTTGTGAATGAAAAAGCACATAAGTTTCATGTAACACTTGAGTGATCTCCATGGAATCCCAGTATTCCGTGGAACACAATTTAAGAAGCATTGTACAAAATTAATTGGTGCTTCTTGAGTAATGATTTTTTTCGTAAATTTTCTATGGACAGAAATTTCATTTCTGTTAACTAAAGAAGCTTTCAGAAAATACGAATATCTTCTAATTGCGAATTTCTAAACTTTTCTGTGACATTCATTTATTTTATTGTTATTATTAAGTTATTTTATTAATAATATTTTATTATTAGCACCTTAGTTCATATTATGAACCCTCCAAAATTCAATTTTATTTTTCTTGTGGATCCCCTCAAATCTTCTATGTACCCCTATATGGACCCCGGTTGGAATACGCTACTGTAGTAGCAAGGAATACTGTAAGAAGGTGACTAGTATTGCATTTCGAAATTTGTTAACGAGGCTATCACTCATCTCCTAATATCGGCAGAGCTGTCTGAGTTGATGCCGATCTTTATTACCTGGAGAGTGTTCGAGTAGAAAATGCTGTCTTCTTTCTTAGCGCCAATGTCCTCTGCACTTTTTGTAAACAGACAGACAGTATCCAAATCCTGAATTTATGCCGAGCCGTGTACAGCTATCTGACTTGTAGTGACAATATGATGAACAACTAGTTGGATCTTCTATCTCACCTAGTTGTTCTGCAAGGCCATTCTAATGGCTGGCGTATATACTGATGGAATTTTTCAGCCGATTGGACTGCGTATGTTATCAAGGTATCCAAACGACGTTTATGAACAAGCCAACGCTTGCCATATATTAATTACCAAGCATGGTGGGCAGCAGCTTCAAAAATTTAATACCCTTCTATGGCCTTCCAGAGGATAGGTGACTAGCGACTTATCCCCAGTAGACTTCTGGGGCATGCCAGAAAGGCAAATTCAGCCTTCTCAGAATGCATTGCATTAGCTAAGTAATGCTCGCGTAATTTGTAGTAGAAATTTTCACAGCGAGGCTTATATAGCTTAATTTCAGATGTCAAACAACAAAAATCAGCGTTATATTTACAAAATTTTCACAAAATTTACAAAATTGAATTAGTATTTATTCGGCGTGTTATTGTGTCTTAATTATAGCTTAATTTACCTAAATAACTTAGCTGTATCGAATAACGGCTTGCATGGCTGCCAGAGGAGGTTCTTTCACTAGCTAAAATGTAATCTTATTGTTAATAAAAGTTTTTCCCCCCTTCAAAATTTACATATCTCCTCAAATGATTCATATATGCCAAACTCATGCTATTGCGGCTTTATTTTTGATAAATGCACATACTTACACACACATATATATAGATATATTCACACACACATATATGTATCCATAGACACTCACTCACACAAACGCGTTTTTTATTTGCAATAACGTGTATTTCTACTGACATTTTGAGCCCTATAAACTGCAAATTTGTTAAAACTTTCTAGCTGAGATATTTTCCAATTAAATGTGAAGATAATGAATGGCTAGACATTTCAGTGAGTTTTTGCAAATGTACGTCATTTTTAGATTTCCTGTTATTTTAAATATATGTATTTTTATGCACTAGGAAGCTGAAAAGAAATTTCCGAACTTGCTCGAATTTCCTGACTTTTTGTCTAATTTGGAAGAAGCATCAAAGTAAAGTAGTTCTTTTTTAGCATTTTTATATATATATTCATTTATCTATAAATGCTTGATTTTTATGTAATGCTGCACTGGGATTTCTTAACTTTAAGGCGCTTAAAATTTCGTTCTTTGAATAGTATAAAAAATGCTCATTTATAATCAAGAAACCTGCAAATTATCTATGATAATCCAACGGAGAAAAAGTTTATAACTTTTCTGAATTCTTAATGTTATATTTTGATTAACGAGTTTTGATTTTTTTAATTTTATACTAAAGGCCTTAGTTTTTTTTGTGTGTGTCGGGGGGTAATCCTGTCTGTTCCATTATAATCCTTTTTATTAATATATTTCTAAGCTTATTATTTTAAGCTAACCAGTTATTATAATTTGGATCTATACTTTAACTTCTCCTTTCGGTATTCCTAATCAGAATGCAAATACGATAGCCAGTACTTAAACTTAGGTTTCTGTATTTTAAGACAGACTACGCGGGCACCCTACATTTAGTTCCTGCCAGCTCTAACAGTTATAATTATTTGCCTTTGCGTTATATCGCTGTCGACACTTTGATTTTAACGCTCCGGTAGAATTACTGAGCCAGCTTTGAGTAATATTTAACTGCATAGTCTTTGACTACTGTTCCACATTTAACTTGAATTTGATTGTTCTTTTAGTTGCATCAGCACGAGCTGTGGCTGTTATTGTTAGCACAACAAAGTGTGTTTATGTTCTGAATTCTGTTTAAAAATAAAAAGGTTATTTTAAACCTTCTCACGATTTTGTAGTTAATTCAGACATAGAGATAATTCGCTTTACGTCTGTTGGGCATTCTAGACTAAATACCAGGCTCAGTAAAACCACACATGTTTAAGACTTTCATTTTCGTTTTCTGTTTTAAAATTTACTTTTTAAATAGGATTAGGCTTTTTATATGAAAAACCAGCCGAACTTTTTAAATAAAGTACAAAATTGTTAAAAATTAAGACTTTTATCAATAAAATGTTAGCTTTAGTCAACAGATAGATTTCAGCAAATATGTGTTTAATTGCACTTGGATTACCCTTGTATGCATTTGTGTTAATCACAATTTTCATGGCTTCAGAATCATATTTTATAGTGTTCTTTTCATCGTCTTCTTGAGTTTGAAAAACAATGGCATGAGTCTCTTGCGGCCTTCTTGTGTTTAAAATAATCGCATGAGGATAAATCTCGCGATAAGATGAGTACTGTATAACGTAAACTTTTCTGAAAAAAAATTGTGCAATGCGATGATTTTGTTAGGTGGAATATTGTCATACAATACGTATCAGCTTTCGAACTCTAAATACTCTGGCTTAATGCATAATTATTCTTTATCGCTGATAATTTAATTCAAATAGGGGCATCATAGTATCATCCATACAATATTGCCTTGTAATAGTTTCATCTGCTGGAACGACTTCATGATAAATTATTGCAAAGGAGTCATTTATCGTGAAATAATGCGAGTAATAAATTCATATTACTTTCATCCACGTCTTTTGCAAACGTAAAATACTTTTGTTTTGGACGACTGCAGCGATTTCCTTGATACGCTCTGACACTTAATTTCCAACTCATACTTAAAATTTTATGCCTCAGCATGAGTGACAATAAAATCTAAAGCCTTCGATGCTCCAGTTTTATTAATGTTTTTATAGGATTCGACGAGTGTCTTCTGTTGGCTTGTGGACTTCAACTTCTTTGTCAATATGACCCTTTCGAATTGATAGCAATAATCTCTTAGATTTTATTCTGTTATTTTGACAGTAGTCGCAGTTTTCAGACAGCCGCCCTTCATAATGACTTCTGTTCTGTTTCTAAAATGCATATAGCACCTGAAAACTTGCATAGTGATCAGTTCCATAAACTGTACGTTAAATGCAACTATTTTTCCTTAAGTTTTACTAAGTTTGCTTAGCTGTATTCTGATTTCGTAATAAAATGCCATTCAGAAAACGCATTCTGGCCTTCGTTTTCCAAAAAATATTTATCTTATGTTTCTCGCTAAGTTTTAATATCAATAGCAATAGTATTTATTTAAATATTGGTGCTTTGTACATCATAGGGTGCTTCTAATTTCAAAGGAAAAAATTGAATTTCTTTTTAGAAGCAGCGCGTGTGTTGAGAATAGAATGTTCTTCCATGCATTTTATGTGCAATTACATCTGGCTAATTTAAAACATATAAAATTTTTGGTTTCTCTTAGATAAAGTGTAACGTATACCAAAAAAACAACTTCAAACTTCTTTTTGTGTGGGTGGGGGGGAGACTGTGCATTTAATTCAAATAGGGGCTTTTTATTTTGTCCCATTTTTGTAAAATATGAATAGCTTTTACATATAAAGCTATAAAAAGTATTTAAATAATAATTCCTTAAATGTTGGTAATTTGCTATTTAATACCTCTAATCTTTAGTCAGGTAAGTAATTTAGTAAGCATTAAATGAAAATTTATATTTTCTTTTCTCTTAGACTTTCCATTGACAATTTAAAAACAGAAATAGCAAACTTGAGTAGCAAAGTATCTAAAATTTCTCAGCAAGTGTCTTTGGCTGGGGAAGATGTTAAAATGCAAATGGAAGAATTTCTGCAGGTAAGAACATTTTCTCAGCAAATTTTTCCGACCTACTGTGTTTCCCCTTCTATCCATTACAAAGTAAAATCGAAATGTTTTGAGATTTTATACAGGGTGTTTCAGCACAGAGGTTAAAAGCTTTCAGGAGAGATAGCGTACGCCTACACGATGGTATACGAGTACACCTACACGATGGATAAAATAGCAATGCATGGTTGGAACGCTTTCCTAGAGCGGTTCTAACAACACAAAACGTAAGAATGGAAGGATACGAACAGGGTGACAAAGCATATTTATTATGTTTAGTACAGAAGAAACTAAGAAATAAGAAAAAAAACTGACAATGATCAACGAAGGTGTTCGAAATTAAGGCCCCGGACCGTGATGCAGACCACATCTCCGACGCATGGGAAGATCTGGTGTTCTGGAGAATATCAGGAATAATACTAGAATAATACTCTATGTCTCCTGAAAGTTTGTAACCGCTGTGCTGAAACACCCTGTATATTAACAATGCTGTAGTTCTCGTTACTGCACTAGAGTTTTCTAAGGCTTCTCAAAGTTCCGCTCCTTCGACCAATTTTGCCTTGTTTTATATTTCACACGCAGTAAATGAGATGCATAGTTTTACTAACATTTTTCTATGGATAACATGCATTTGTAAGCTAAAATAAGAATAAATTATCATTTCATCAATTTTCGGATCTCAACAGTCTTCTTCTTAGCAAGCATGTTGGGGATATTTGCATGTTGCAAGTGATGGATATATGCATATTGCATAAGATGTAATTTCATGTAATGTTTAAAAGCAATTGATATAAAAGTATGAATAAACTCTCAGTTTCATTATTATTATCATTATTATATCACCCTATAGTTCGCCACGAGAGAGACAATGGCTGTTCAAAAGGAAATCGACAGCTTAGAAAAAGTTCGTGAGGATATGGCTGAATTTCTTTGTGAAGATCTCCAGTCATTCAAACTTGAAGAATGCTTCAAAATATTTCAGAGTTTCTGCCAAAAGTTCAAATCTGCAATTGAGGTATGTTTTATTCTAAAATAAATAAAATGAAAATTTTTCAGTTAAATTAAACTGTAGGGAAATTATCTACCTTAGAAAGAAATAAAATTTCCGGAGATCTTAGAGAAAATATTGCTCTCATGTTGTAATACACATAGAGGCAACTTTAAAATATTCATGAAACTTTTTTTCTGCTCCTTTTTTTTCGAAACTGAAATGAAAATACTGTGGTCAAATACTATTTATATAAGCAGTATTGCTTCTTATGTTACAAATAAAATGTGAAACATGTGCCATTTCTCTAAAAAAAAAATTTTTTTTTTTTTGTTTTAACTTTATTTACTACTAAAGTGTTATGTAAATGTAATTTGGTTTATTTTAATTGCGTTTGGTTTATTTTAATTGAGTATTTAAATTTCATTTTCCTATATTTTAATAGAAAATTCACGTGAATTCTATTTACCTGATTGTAAAGAATAAGAAAGAAACGGTTTATTTCAAAAGGGAAGCGTCAATTCGTTTTCTGTTCGATCAGGAATCAAAGGTTTAAGAATTTCTGCACACTTGCTATTTTTAAAAAGAGATATTAGAAGTTGCGGGAGAACAATTCTTATCCAGGGCTTCTGAACAGGGAAGGCCGGTACTTAAGGCACATGTTTTGCACCTGTATGGATGGCAATGGGCATGGAGACAGAGATCAACTGTCACTTCGCCGCAAAACTCATAGAAAAGTGTGGCTTTCAACACTTTCATCGCAGACTGAAGAAAAAAAATTTCATCGCCATCACCTCCGAGATACGAACTTCAGACCTTCCGGTTGAGCTGGATATGCTTCCAATTACACCATGAAGGCTCTTGGTAAGGAAAGAGAATATATTTTACATTCTTCCCATTTCAATGGGCGACTGGGAAGCGGAGACCTAGTCTCCAAATACAGGTTGCGATGAATTATCTAGTTCAGCTTCCAGTTGTAAAGTCATTAGAATGTTATTGGAGCAGGAAACCTGAGGAATTTACTATGCCTTCACTGGGTTTCGAACTCCGGACCTCCCGACTGCCAGCTAGACGTGCTTCCATTTACACTATGAAGGCACGAAGTAAGAAAGGAGAAAATTCCCTTACATTCTTCCCTGCTTTAAGGGTGACTGTGGAGGCAGAGATCCAATACTCTCTTGATGTTGCAAAATCCTGCCGGTGACGAATTATCGCCCACGAAATTTTATGCTTGGGCGCCACAGTAGAGTCATTTAGAATATTTTTAGAGAAAGCGATGTCCTGGCCGGGATTCGAACTCCTGTCTTCCTGATTGCTAGCCAGGTGTGCTTCTAATTACACCACGAAAGAAAGCGGTAAGTGAGGCGAAAACACCTTACGTTCTTCCTCACTAAAGAATGACTGGTGAGGAGGAGACCCAGTAACAAAATCCAGGTGGTGACGAATTACTGTCCACCACATTTTAGTTCAGAGCCACTTGCAGAGTTATAAGAATTTTTTTTTTTTCAGCTTTCAACATAAAAATTGTGCAAAGCCTTCGCCAGGATTCAAACTCCTGACCTCCGAACACTACTAAAACACGTGATAAGGAGAGAGAAAGTACCTTACAGTTGGACAAAGGGAAACTTGAAAAGAGTAATATTGTTTGAATTTTATCTCTCGCAGTTAACTGAACCAATGACGAAATTGGATGGCAGTGTTGATTACAAGTACGAAGTTTCTTAAAACTTGCATCTCAGAAGAAAGTATAATTGTGTTATTACTAAAATTTGAAGCAAAAAGAAAAAAGAATAGTACAGAAGAGACAGGTATAAATCACAATATAAGTACATCTGTAGAGATAATAGGTATTTTTTGGAAGCAGGAGAGATGCAAATGAGCAACGCCCTCGCCGGGAATCGAACCACGGACCTCTAGAATACGCGCCCAGCGTGCAGACCACCACACCACGAAGGCATGCTAAGAAGGCGGAAGAAATACCTTATACATCAAGCACACAGTATCATAACTTAAATATCAAGTAAGTGAAAAATCTATAAAGAAATCACGTGTCTTTGAAATTTGACTTTCCTTCCTGCTCATTCGCTGAGGTTACCTATAAAGAATTAATTAGACAGAGCAGTCAAAGTTTAAAAATAAATAAATTTTTCTCTAAATGTATAATATATTTTTGACCAGCTGTTGTATTAATTTATTTATGCAGGAAAATGAGAAACGTGGCCAACAAGAAAAAAGAGCAGAGGCTAGGAGAAAACAGAGAGAAGAACAACTAGCGCTTAAAAAGAAAAATTCTTCAGGTACAAGTATCCCTTCTTTATGCAGTTTCCCATTTTTAATTCTTAATTTCTATACTAATCTATTTCTATCGAATACAACAGTTTTTGTATAATTTTTTGCATAGCATGTGCAATAAAAGCTTTAGTCTCAAAAAGTATTTTTATACGGAAGATGCATTGTAAATGCCATTAATTAGGTTCTAAAAATATTATTATATTTTTCATATTGCTTAGAAAAAAGTGTAAAACTTTGTACTCTGTTAATGTAGTTTTTTTTATTTGTTCGCCGAAGTTGCCTAAAAAATACATATTTAAGCTAGTTAAAAATTTTTAAAAAAAATTGTTTTGCACCATGTGCTGTCATTCTTTCCATAAACTGTAATAACACGATTTTATTATGCAGATAAAATATACTGCAAAACATGCACGTTTTTCTGTTGCTAGTTAAAAAGCTTTATTGCCTAATGGGCACAATTACTCCTTAGAAGCATCTTTCGACGATTTTCAAATAAATACATTTAAGAAAAATAAACTAACTTTTCGTTAAGGGAATACAAATTATTCTCTAAAATACAGTGAGCTTCTTTCATTAAAATTATAGAGCAAAAGGTTGAGACTTGTCATTTATTTTGAAAATATATCTTCAAATTTTTCACATGTTAATCACGTGTAGCACTCTTAATTTTTTAGCGTTTTCTGATGAAGATTTTAATGTAGATTTTTTTTTTTTTTTTTTTTACAAATGGCCTATAATGGCATTGGCCGCTAATAAGGATAGAAATGGTAGCCATTTTATTGTGGAGGCTCCTAATGGGCGGCCACCGTTACCTCCTATGAAGGGACAGACAATTTTACATCCATGCCTTCTTAGAGATTCGAACCCGGGCCCTTTGGCATCGCAGTCAGGCTCCCCTAACCACTATACGGTTTCGTCAGCTGTAGAAATAATATTTAGAGACTTAATCAACAAATGAATTTGTTCCCCAGGTTTAAATATCAAAATAACACATTACTGAGAAGGAGACCTACTTTTGTGTTGTTTCATTTAATAGTCATAATTCAAAATATTCTTGAAAAAAGTTAAAGTTTTCAGATATGGAACTCTAATTCAGCTAATTAATTTTTTTAACAGAAAACCGACCTTCCTCATTCTCCGGTAGTGAAAGTGATAACATAATAGATATGCTTCTCGGTGATATTAGAGGAGGATTCAATCGTTTTGGAGCCAACGGTAGTTTCAAATCTGCGCGTACAACAGCTAAGCCGAAGCGAACATCAGCTGATGGAACAGCGATTCCTGGTGAACTCAGTCGTATGAACAGCCTCACTTCAAGTGTTCCTTCCGAAGAAGATGCCACAGCATCACCTAGGATTATTCGGCGACGAATTGGATCATCAAATTCGATTGCTAATGGGTCTGGTGGAGACGTAGATAACATCGACACTCAGTCCCCAGATGTGACACCGAATGGGACCCTACATCGACGTAGAAGTCGATTATCTTCAGAAGACAGAGAAGATAACTTAATAGATTTCTTAAGGCAGACAGCTGAAAATGATTCTCTAAGAGGAGACAAAAGTAAGGTACCTGACAGTGGATCTTTAGATAGATCGTGGATTAGACGGTCATCAAGAAGGTTAGTTACATGTTAATTTCATTTATTTACATTACTTATTCTTAATTATATTTATTTGCGTAAATATAACTCAGATAAGCATTCGGTTATGTTTACATACGTATTCCGCATAAAAAATATTTTAGTAACCTTGTATTAAAATGAGCGGCTATAAATATGACTACGATAAATTTATTTAAAAGAAATTGCTTTTGGCCTTTATTTGAGTTTTGAAATACAGGAAAGAATTTAATATGATTCAATATGATATCAGCTGAGTAATGCTGATATGATACGATGATTAATATAATATCAGCTGATCTTACTGAGGCTGCCAGTATTGTTTTCTTTTAGAAGGGGGGGGTCTAACATATTTTCAAATTTTGCATAATTAACGATAGCAAAGCACTGCACTTTTCTGCATAAGAAAACAACTGCCATCATAAAGGACATTCTATAGGAACGGTTTTGAATTAGCTTTCTACTTGGGGGTCAAGCCAAATGCTACCATTCCGTGGCTTTGGCCTGTCGGCTACAGGTGAGGCAGTACACTTAGCTACGTATCATAAATATTTCGTTTTGTTTATATAAAATTATTTTCATCAAATTACCATTAATATGATAGAGGAAACTTTTTTTTTGATAAAAATAGTAAGAAATTATTCACATATTTATTGATTTAAAGTACGTAACACGTATTTGCATATTATTGTATATGTTAGATTTAGAAGTCCTCAGATGTGCAAGTTAAAATGACGGAATAGATTACACTATATTTCAAAAACATATCTAATCTAACTTAGATATAGTATAGTATATGTATTATTGTATATGTTAGATTTAGAAGTCCTCAGATGTGCAAGTTAAAATGACGGAATAGATTACACTATATTTCAAAAACGGTATTACTAAATTTAAGTCTTTCAAACTAATGCTTGCAATCCTATTTCAAACCAGCTATATTCGTTTTTGAATATATACCGTATCCACAAAAGTCCTCACCTGACCTTTAGTTCCTCAAATCGTAGACATATACTTCCAGTTACAAACACTTTTTAAGTTATTTAAATATCCATGTTTTTGGAGTTTATAATTTTAAAACATTAATTTTGTAAAAATTGCAAAATTGCAAACTCATGTCCTTACGTATTGGGGATCTTACGGTATTAAATGTGTTGATTTGGAAAGCTTTTGTACAAAGTTATATTGAAAAAACCGTCTCGTCCTTAATTTTTGCACACCAGTGTATCTAAGCCAAATTTTATCATACGAGAATCATACTTTTCTCATTTCATTTTTATTATGTGCTTAAAAATTTTCTAAACATAAATATAGGGAAACCTATAATATGTTTGATTCCGTAAATTTTATGAAATTAATGTTTTAAAATTAAAAATTCCAAAATATGAATACTTGCGTCATTTAAAATATTTTTGTAACTGAAAGTATATGTCTACGAAGAATGGCTGCAGAAATAAAGGCCGGGTAAAGACTTTTGTGAACACGCTGTATATTCCGAGTTTAAATAATCCTTCATAAATAAAAGAATAACGTATTTAATCCTTTAAGAAGATGCAATGCATTTAGTAATTTAGTAACTGCTTTCATTCAGCACTAAAATTGCATTTATTTTATTTCTAGAAGAAGACCTGAAATGTTAGCAGCGGAATTAAATGAAAGAGAAAGGCCTGCATCTCCAAACCCATCACCCTTATTAGAAAGAAGATCTGTTGCATTAGAAGCAGAAGGCAGCAAACCAAAGCAGTGGCGCCTCAAAATAGAGGAATGGCTACAAGAAAATGAAAAAGAACAAGAAAGAGAAAAGAAACTCAGAGAAAAAATTGCATTGGAACGTTGTAAAGGTAAAGAAGCTGAACATCGAGAATCAGATTCATCCTCGAAAATTTTGGATAACAGTAATGAATGGAAATCTGCTAAGAATCTAGAGACGCTGCATGAGGTGAAAACCGACTCGGAACTCTATGCTAACAAAATCAAAGAAACCATGGCAAATGGAAATATTGCTCAATCTTCGGAGACCCTTGAAGGAATTCCGCTTAAAGACAAATCCAAATGGCGAAAAAGTAATCTTAATGTCGCTAATAGTAGCGAATCTATTGATGATGAGCGCAGAAGAAACAGAAGTAGAAAGACTGTTTCCGATCCAGAAGTTGACGATACTATAAGCTTCTATATCAGAAGTACTGAGAGCGTTGATGTTGAAAACTCAAATTCAAACGCCAGTAAAGATAAAATCACGACTATTAACGACGCTTACGTTAAGAAGCCATTATCATTATCAGGTAGTTCAAGAAGTCTCGAATCAGATAATTTTAAAGCTGATCAACAGAAATATAAAGAAAGACCTCCAACACTTTCGAATTTTGATGAATCCTCAAAAAAGTTAAATTCTCAAACAGAAAATCTGAAAACGTCTGATAAAACAAAGCAAATGCATTTCCCAGCTCTAGATAATGTACAAAACAACGCTCTTGAAAAGAATGAAACAGGAGTTTCAATAGGTAGAAGCCGATTTTATCAAAGTGCAAGGGAATTGCCTCTTAACAAAGCAGAAAAAACACTAAGCAAAAGCGAAGTGACAGATGATCTTGCCCTGGAGCAAAAAGAAATAAATAAGCCTAAGAAAATTTATTCTACAGATTTTTCAGAAAAATCTGTCACAAATGAAGAATCAAAAACTAGCTCTCCCGAAATAGACAATGAAGGTAATTTTGACAGATTTTCATTCATGAGAAAAACAACACGACGAACCAAATCACGTCCAAAAATTATAGAAAGTGATTTTAAAAAATCCGAAGAACACTTAGATAACACACAACAGTGTAATAAAATTTCAGAAATTGAAAAGGAAGCAGAACACTCGCAGTTTTCTCAGATTCAGCTAGTTAAAAAATCGGATTATGAGGCAAAACGTATTGAAGATGCTTCGCAAGGTTCCAGTCCGTCACTGAAGGACATAGGAAAATTAAACAGTGAAAAGAATAGAAATCACATCAACACGTTAACGAAAAATATAACAGAGAATGTAAAAATTGCAGAAAATGCTGATGATCAGAAGAAGAGAGATAAATCAACTTCCCTTAAAGCAAGGCTATCGAAAAGATTATTATCCTTGACAGAAAATCTAAAAGCTGTCTCAAAACCTTCAGAATCTACAGAGATAAATGCATCTGTAACTCTAGGTCCCAAATCTGCAGTTGAAGATAAGAAATTCCACTTAATGGAAGACTCTCCTTGTCCAAGAATTGAAAAAGCGTTATCTGAAAGAAGAGCAAGCTTAAAAGAAGAGAAACCAAATCCAATAATGGAGCACAGAGAGAAAGTTTTGTCCCGCCCGAGGCATGATATGTTACAAATACCTCTTAGAAGTAAACTACCTCAAACAACTGAAGACTGTCCTCCATTAGTTATAGCTAAACCTAAATTACTAAAAGAGAGTTACATAGCCGATTCAAATAATATTAAAATAGTTCATGCTACACCTCTTAATCATGATGTCAAAGCTTTCGAAGCCTATCCTGCACAGAATAAGTCTAAAGAAGAACCGGAAAAAGATGAAGGTTTCGAAGAAACGCAGTCACAGCTTTCTGAGGTTGCATCTCAAGAGGCAGGTTCAAATTATGACACAGACTTAGCAGATTCTCCTAGAAGTGTTCGACAAACTAAAGATTTGAATCAGAAAGATGCACATCATCTAGTGCAAACAACTGCTAAGCCAGAGATTCCTTCCCTTGAACATTACCCAAAGCTTGATAAAAATACTACAGATGACATCAAACTGACTGAACATAAATTGTCAACCAATACCCTTAAGAGAGAAGTAGATGAGAAAAAGCAGCCTGCTTCTAGATTATTCACCGCCTCAAAACCATCATCAATTACTAGAGGAAGAGAACCAAGAACATCACCAAGCACTTCTAAAAAAATTGCTCCTGTAAAATCTATTGCTGATAAAGAAAATGCAAAGCAAGCTTCACAAGCAGCTAAGAGTTCTGTTCAAAACAGGAGCTCTATCATAAGGTCACGCAATCCCAGCAACATTCGATCCAATTTAAGAACTTCACGAGATAGTGTATCTAGTGCAAGCAGTAGGACTGGAAAAAGTCCTAGTTTAAGAGGTTCACAAGCAAGTTTAAATGAAGCAAGTCCTAAAATTGGACGCAGAGTTGCAGCATATACAAAAGCAATAAAATCGATGACAAATAATTTACGTGGTACATCAAACAAACAAGTAGAAAACTATGATGTAACTCAATCTATGCCTCCTACGCCATCAGAGGAAAATAAATCGTTTATTTCTGGTTTAAATTTATCAGAAAATGCGAAAAAAACGCGCTCAAATTCATCTGTATATAGTCCGCGGTCCCAAAGTAGGCGTTCTAGTGAAAAATCTTTAAATATAAGCCTTGGAACATCCAGCAGAAGAGGAAGTGACAAATCGTTATCTAGAAGGTCTAGTGAAAGAAGTTTGGATTTGTCGAGGAAATCAAGTGAGATATCAATTGTTACTGTGAAGAATGTGAACAGAAGAGGCTCCGCATCTTTAACAGGACGCTCGAAACCCATGTCGACAATTTCTCGCCTTACAGAAACCAGAGTTAGACCTAGCCGTCCAAAAAGCCCCATTCAGCCAAGGCCATTACGTGCATCTACACCTATTAACAAACAAGTTCTAAGATCAAACTCTAGTGCAAAAGCAATGCCATCATCTATAAAGCCTAGTTTGATAGACAGGAGAAGATCTATTGATAAATCATCTTGTGGATTTATGAAGGCTACCTCTGCATCATCTGCAAAATCATCACCTTCAAAATACATTCAAGAACAAAGCATGCAGAAACTTCAAGCAAAAGCTATAGCTCTGGGAAAAGTTGAACCATCGTTGAACAGGGTAAAACAAAGATATTGATATTTCTAAAAAAATTTTATGTATGCCATGTTTAATGCTGAAGGAAAGAAACAAACCCATTCCAGCAAAAAGAAGTGACTACAGACTGAACAACTTTGATGAAACATAGTGTGTTTCAATGCAGTTCAATGCAGAAAGGTATTTTTAAGTTCATTTATACTCATAAGAACTGTGTTAAGTTTTTCTTTTTAATCACATTAGAAAATTGTGTATACTGAAAGGAATGTAATAAGCCACCTCCAAATTCATTGAAAAGCTAGAAAAAGACTGCATTTGATTTTCATTTGGCTGTGTACAGCAAAATACTGAACAAAGGTTTTGATACGAATATGACCTTGTTCTTCGATAAATATGAAATCCCCATTGTTTTATACCCAAGAGTATATCTTGGTGATTAAAAGTTTCCTGAGTGTCTATGTTCCATGATTAATTTTAAATACTATGCATTGAGCCCTCTGTTTAAACAAGTGAATTCAGTCACTTCAACACACACAAGCTGGATGCTTTACAGAAGTGCAATCTGTATCTGACAGCATGATCTAAATAATTGTAAAAGTGTTCACAAATCAATATCGCATGATTATTATGCATGTTCAAATTTAATTTTTCAAAAAGTTCATCCGTCCATATGTTTGAAACTCTGAAAAATATTTTTATACAGATTCATAATTGATACATGTTTGCAAAAAAGACTTCACTAGAACATTTTGTAAATTTGAGACAATCTTATTTCTCTTCTTACAAAATACATTAACTATTAGTGCCAAATGTTTTTATAAATGGAATGTGATAAGCTGGTCACATGGAATATGCATGTTTCCTCAGATTCTGTAATGTAGTAAAACATATACTGCAGTTTTATTAAAAAATGTCTGTTCATGTCATGGAGAGATAAATCATGTAAAATACGTTTTCCAAAGAGAATTCAACCCAATCATTGTAATTATAAAGCACATATCTCCAAATATATTTCTCATATAATAGTTTCAGAGATACATTAAAAAATCTTAATTATATAAATTTGTATATTATATTGAAATGTTAAATTAAAATTTCAACCAAATATTTTTTGGGGAGGCAGGGGATCTATTACACTGCATTTAAAGATGCACAATGAAAGCTGAGTAATAATACTTTATGGATATACTGAAATTCTTAAATGTTAGAGAAAGGTTTCAAGGCTAGAAAATATGAAGTTAAAAACTGTGTTTTTGTCATTATATGTAGAACATAAATCCTTTGCCTTAATTTGAATTGTGTATTCATTATTCCAATGATTGTGAAATCTAAGAGGTCCATAGTGTCTCGTAAATACAAAAAGTTTTATTTTCAACTAAAGAAATGCAATATATGTGTAGCAATACATTTATTTCTAAAGAATATTTTTTAAACATGTATCAATAGGCATGTTCATTTGTAAGAAGTATAAATTTTCATTCTGAAATAAAATCTCTTTCTTACTATACAGTAAGTTCTTTATTTCTTAAATTTATACAGTGAATAATATTATTTCCTAGAAATGTTGTTCAGTTAAGCAGTAAATTTAACTTCCAAAACTCATACTATATCAAAATATTACACAAATTAAACATTTCCAAATGCATAGTAATAAAATGTATAGCAAAAAAAATCACTTATGTAACAATTAATCTACTGCAACAAATACATCTGAAAGGGTTTTCAAATATAAAATGGAATGAAAATCAATATATCTCAGAATTATTTTAAAAACATACATCAAAATTTTGGCCCTTAAGTATTTTGTACTTCATAATGGAAAAATATTTAACTTTTTATGCATTTTATCATAGCTAGATAGGTTCATTTTAAAACTTTTAGAGAAAATAACAATCAATTTATCGTTACGACTCAATTTAAGACTTCAATACATGCTATTAATATTTTTAATTTATAAAAATTTTCAATTAGAAGTATTTATAATATATTTGTATATAATATAAAATAATATTATATAATACGATCATATATTTTCCAAAAAAGTTATAAAGAAAAAATAACACTTAGCAGATAGAATAAATAATTTTAATATCTAGTTAAATAATATTTAAATTGCACAAACATTTTTTCCTTCCTTCTTCTCACAGTAATTTAAATTAAATAAGCATTCACAGCTTGTTAGTGTAAAATATTTTGATAATGAAAAAATGAAAGAAAATTTATATAAGTGTATAATAGAAAACTACACTGTTTTCTTTACTTGCTATATGTCTGAGCTTGCACATAGCATGTAATAGAACTATAATACAACTTTTTTTAAGAGCTATTCGACACAACTTTGATTGCTTTTTAATACGGAAATATAATGTATTTTGTATTTGTCATATTTAATCACATAGGTATTTTTCAAACATTTATAAAACTAATTTCCATCTTAAATAGTTGCCTCAGATGTGGAGTATTTTTAATTATTAATAAAATGTAGAGCTGACTTGTAGCATTTATAATTAAATTTTCAAAATGTTCAACTTTGTACAAAATATGTAAAATTTCAGAACATTTTTCACTATAATACTGACACTAATACAAATATAATTTATATCATAAAACACAGGAACTCTCTCTACATATTTATGATTGACTTAATGATGTTGTTCACTTTAGAATGTATTATGTTATGATTCAGTATAAAGCACAAACTGGCATAAGATAATTTAATCATATAAATCTCTCAAAAAAGTCTATGAAAGCTAAATATAGAACAGAAAATAATACAAATATAATTTTTTCTTTGTATACAACATTGAATTTACATTATAATTTCATACAATTAATCTGCTGAGATTAATTAAGTTTTATAACTAATCAAATACTAGAAATTTTCATAACTGAAGCAACCTGCAATACAGTTTCTTGGGATGTATGCCTGTATAATCTTAGATAATTATTTGGAATGCATACAGTTGATAACATCACATAATGATACATCACGCTCTGTTTTATCAGATGATGGAATTAAGATATAAAAAATTTCCATTAAACCATGAAAACACATCTTAATAATAGTAATATTAGTTTACTTATTCTTTTACTATTGATAGTGTATGTGTACATATCTGCTCAATGAAAAACATTCCTTTTAGCAATGATGATAATAATAGCTCTTTCAAATTCAAATAATTAATTTTAAAGAGGAATCTATTAAAATTATACAGATGTTACATACGATAATTATATGTATTTAACTACACAGAGAAAAATTCTCAATGCAAAATAAATAACAAAAACTATATTAAAATTCTACACTATTAAATGAATTAATACATGATATTTACATTTATACATCTGTTTTCCCCATTTATATACTTTCAAACTACTGCACTAGAATGATACAAATGAACTTAATAGTATACAAAAAATGTAAAATAAAATTATGTATATCATGCTAATTAAATACAAAGAAATAAGCACAATAACTAACTGGAAAAGAATAATTTGACTTGAACAATATTTATTTCATTGCATTACAAAACTAGATAAAGAAGAAGAAATAGTTTGAATACTTTAGCCTGGAAAATTCTTAAAAAAATAATTTGAAAATTTTAATATTCCTAAAAAATTGACACAATGGAAATGCACAAAATAAATTGCAGCATGAACTCCCCTATAGTCAGTAAATATGGCACAGTATAACTTTGTATTTAAGAAAGCATTATGTGCAGAATTTTTTGCTAAAACTGAAATTTAAATGAAATATATAAAGTATTGTGAAATAACACCATTGACAACATAGTGCAGTTAAATTAACTAACAATGAATGCCAATGAGACTAGTTATGGGAAAAGAAAGATCCACATGAATATCTGTTTAATACACTTATTGTAATGCAATGATATTAATGTAAAATAACACAAAAAGCAAATGTTTGCAGTTCAAAAATCTTCTTTAACATAAGCAGTTGAGCAAAATGTATCAAATATAACGTATTTTCTCAGCTTTAAATGAGAAATGTCTAAATTAGAATTTACTTTGATAGCTGTAATAAAACATTTTTTAATAAAGGCATTCAGCTGCAGCTGAGACATCATGTATATTCTATTAATAACTTTTCACAAATAAAAACATTAAAAAAACTACATTTTGACACGCTTGGTACACACAAAAGCATTAGAAACGTTAAGGTTTACTTATAATGGGACTTTCAAATATATTTGTCATAACATCTTAAAAACTGACTAGGCCTTTGATACTACGAAAGTATCTATGGCTCAGTCCTTCATGAAATTTATTTAAGAAAAAATATTAATATATTTTTTCCAGAATAAATATATCCATTCTTTTCTGCTATGATAGACAATACTGAGGCCATCAAATGCTTCAAACAACTGGCGTTTGAAAGCAATACCAAGATCCTAGACACAAAAAAACAAAAAAAAAATTATCTAAAAATCAAAATAATTCAAAGAATATTTAGAAGGGAAAAAATTACGCTCTAATGAATCACAGAAACAAGCTATTTATTAAATATAACTATCACCATAGTGAATTTAACTTAAAGACTAAACTAACTATGAGATTAACACATTAAGAAAATGTGAATACCAATAATTAAAAGAAAAAAATATATATCCTATTATGAAAAACTGTTCATCATATTAAATAAAATAGATTAAATAATAATATCTCCAGTTGCAAATCGATAAATCAATAAATGAAAATTGTGCAGCAGTTAACAGCACACAAATACAGAAGCAAATATTTAAACTATCTATAAATGAAAATAATGAAAAATTAATCAGATTGAAACTCTGAAAGAAAGCAATAAATAAAAGGATTTGGCTATACTATTTACATTAAGCACAGAAATTATCAAAACCTGTATGAAGAAAATAAAAATTAAGTAGTCAAATGCACAAAATGTGCAAACAATGTAAATGAAATACTACGTCAAATGTGAAAACTGTGCTCGATAAAAATAAAATCTATATAATAAAAATTTTATTCTCTAGCACGTCAAAGATTTGTTCTCTGCCAAAATAAGAAATTTATAAAAAAATCAGAATAAATATGTAATAAAAATGTAATCGGTATATCTGCAGGGCAATGGTATTAGTTTTTATAAGAAATCACTGAACCGTAAAAATATCCTTATCTATTAATATCTTTAAATAGGGGCTCAAATTATTGAAATAAATTAAATATAAGAAATAAGCTCAAGTAATGTCATCATCTAAATGAAAGACATGCCAATACAAAATTTACAATGATGCAAAAAAGTAAACTTAGATTGGAGAAGATTTTGTATAACATTATTGATTTCAATGGGAATCAGACATTGGTTCTTCAAGAGTTAAAAAAAAAAATAAAAAATAAAAAAATAAAGAAAACGAGCCTTCTAAGGTCTAAGGTAGTTTTTTTTTTTTTACGATGCTATTATGCTTATTGTATTTCATTCATCTTTTTTACTGGATTTAGCTGACTATTTCATCCACAGAGTCGATTAATGTTTAGCTTTTTTATGCTGTTCTCACACGCATTTATGGTATTTTTATTTAAAAATGTTTAATAACATACTCAGTTATTATTCTTATTGCCCAGTATTTATAGCAGTAATAACTAACTGAAGACCTCTGGATATCCTGAGACCTGCAGCCAAGAATAAAAATATTTATTACTTTTAATGATTACGGACTTCCCGATGAAAAAATGCACATGCAAATTTCTGATACAAAGTAGCTGAAAACCTACTTTGGTGTATTTGATGCTTCAAATGATCGCTGCAGAACTTTTATTAACATGCATTATATTTTAATCTTTACAGATTTATTCCACATTCAATTTTAATGTTTTATTGGTCTCATAACCTTGCATTCTCATAACCTTGCATTACAAAGTTCAAGAAGTTGGTTGTTAGAACTGGCATCCTGTATTTATTGGGCATGAAATTTTTATAATTGAGCTTAGTGTTGATCTATCTGTAATTTTTTTGAGATAATCAATATTTATTAATTCAGTATGTATTTCAAAATACTGCATAAATAAAATACATTGCACGGCCCATGGAGCCAACAGTCTCTTAAATTGGCCTTCATGTTTTCAGAAGCTCGATGTAACTGATTTTTACTCTCAGTTACAAAACAGCTTATTCAAGGATATTTTAAATCCCATTTGTACAATATTGCATTCATCAAAATACTTTTTATTCCATATTAAAATATAAACATTTAATAATTACTTCCCAGTTACTGAAAACTACTTTTGAGTTTGAATTCCAGCACATAAATAACATCACAGAAAATATTCTAAAGAATAATATTATGACCTAAATGTGAATAATGAAAGCTTAAAGAAGAATACAAAATATTCAATCTGCAGCATTTTTTGAGGTTTTACTCATGTATCTATCATTTCCGAGAAAAATTTAAATAAATATTTCAGTCTAGTTGGAAAGACATGACAAAAGAAAAAATGTTAATAAATAAATTAACATCGGCTTATAGCACAATTAAGCAAGATAATTTATTTTAATCTTAATTTTTTTTCATCTTAATTATAATGATATAATTCCTTTATTTATATTCAATTTTATATATTTAAGTTTTTTAGTCTTCTTTATAAATAAAACAATTAGATTAAAAAATGTGAAAGAATTTAGAATAACCAAGGCCAATCATAATTTTTTTTACAAATACAATTAATAAACAGTTGATCATCATGTCAGAAAACTTAAGGGCATATGTACTTTAACTTAAGTGATTTAAAATGGTCAATTAATTATTTTAGTTACAACCTAATAGCAGTAAATAAGCATACCTTAATCAACAGTAAAACAATTAGGACAGTAAAGTTGATTATTTTTGACTTGCACATCTGTACCACAGGATCCATTACCTAACTGTGTATGACATATACAACAACGGAAGCATTCAATGTGGAAATACAGTCTTAAGGCTTCGATACCCATTGCTGAGCCTTCACCTGTAAAGAATTTATGAGAAATTAACTGAAAATTATTTTTAAAGAATGCCAAAACCATCTAATAATTATACGAATATTGATATAACCATTATTGAAATGAAACACGTTTACAAAGCACATATTAGAACAGCTAAATGCGAGCAAAACCTGAAACGAGATTACTTTTTGCTGATATTTAATTCTTTGTATTCTGCCTAGTTAATAGTTATCAATGAAATATTTCGAATGAAAGGAACAGTTATATATAACAGAAATCAAAAGAGAAAATATTCAGCATATTTAATTTCAACACAGTTAAGAAAATAAAATTCAAGTTTGATTTTAAAAGTAATTTTAGTTGATTAGTTTTAGATACCAATAACAAAAAGTTTAAGCTTTGGTACAAATAAATCGGCAGTCTTTAAAAAGAAATAAAATTTAGTATAAAGTCTCCGTATGTCTTGAAATCTCACACTGAGAAACCCTTCTCCTTAAGTAACGTTTTTAATAATTGATAGGGCTGCTACATTTTGAAAGAAAAATGACCTAACATTAACTGCCAGACTTGATAATAGTTTAAGAAAAATGCCTTTAGAAACTAAATGCCTCTTACAGTGAATTGCCCAGGTGGGAGGAAGAGAGGAGGTTTCGGTCATCATTAATATTTTAGGAGTAGTCAAAGATTAAACTACGTTTAAATATGTTTTTATTAATTAAACATGCTTTTATAAAAATATTTAATTTTCAGGTCACAAACATGATTATTTAAGAAAATGTGCAAAATTTAAATTCAAGCCTTTAAAATATATATGAGTGCTGACCTGGACACAAATTTAGAAATGCAGTTGGTTTGCATCACAACTTTGATTCAGTTTTTGATTTAAATTTCAATCTTAATTTTACCTATCACACACGTAGAAACAGTAGACATTATATTCAAATTTAGACAATAAAAACACATTCTGAGCTCATCTTTCAATAATTTTTTTCAGAAAACTTAATCACACTTTAAATACCTTGTTATAATTTACACAAGACTTTTATTGTAAAATTGATCATATTTTTTACTATTGGTGGGACGCTTAAATTTCAACAGATCGGTAATGTTTTTTAGAGACGTACGCAAATAATTTCAGAAACCTGCACGGAACCTAAACTTGATCTTGTGAAGCACAAATGTTGCTTGCCATTAACTAAAGCATTTTTTCTAAAAATCAGGTGGCTCTAACTGGCCACAAACATAGCTGTAACATTTACAATTTTGTAACTAGTTAATAATAACCAATTTAAAACATGTAAAAACAGAAGTAAGTCTGTAAAGTATTTTCTCCTTCCTTACCATAAGCCTTCATGATGCAATTTGAAAGTACATCCTTCTAGTACTCAGAAGGTCCGGGTTTAAAATTTTGGCGAAGGCAATGAGGATTTCTCACCTTGCATGACTCTGAAAAAGTCTAAAAGACTCTGACACTTTAACTAAAAAGTGGTAGTTAGCAGTTCTGTATCATACTTTAGAATTCTGAGTACATAAATAAAGCTTTGGTCGCTATAACTGAACAAGCATTATTTTGTAACAGTGCTTGTGTTCACTATGACTTTGAAGCTAGTCAGTGCAGGGGCTGACCCTGTGCATCTCTTCGTGATGGTCGCCCGCCGGCCCCGGCACTGACGACCTAATCTGTGAGGGAAGTTTTCCCTCTGCAGCGATCGGGAGGGGTGGCGCCCTACCAGATCGGTCCTGGAGTTGCAGCTCATTAAACCTTGTAAGGGAGACCCAAGTCTTCCAGGGCAGGGGCTGTTTCTCTGGTGTTAATGTTAATGGTGTTAATGTCAAACACATCAAATATATGTATAGCTGCTTCATTTATATACCATAGTATAACGTGCTAGAATCATCCAAGACCAATTATTAATAGGTTACCTAGATCCAGAACTCTTAAGACAATTCTAGAAATAGTTTCGAAAATTTCTGAAAAAGCGCAGCATACCGATTACTAGAAACGTACAGTAGACCTAATTAGATAGTATATTGAAAATACTTAAAGCCTGATACATTCACCTGCTCCCCATACTGATGATCCCAGACCATACTGATGATCTAAATACCACTGAAACTGAATCAGTCGCATTCACACCCACTTTTTGTTTTAAATGATGCTTATATTGGAAAGAAATAAAATTATCTTTCGAAGTTTTGGGTTAACGTTTAACGATTTTTCAGATTAAGATTCAAAAGGCGAAAAAAGCATAAAATTTCGAGTGTTCAGATCTCGAATCGTTTTTACAATTCACAAGATTCGAATGTCTCATCTGTAATTTTTATTACTTCTTAAAATAATGATTTTATTAAACACATGGTACACTAGCGTAACTATTAAAAAGAAAATTAATTTTAAGATAATTTTTATAAAGCATGATTTTCCTCCTTATCATAAAATTTCGATTCTGCTCTGCTTAAGATCAAAGAAAATCGTACGGATCTGTTTACATATACATAAATTTCACTTACAAAGACCTTTCCCACAACACGAACAGTTGTGCACTTCTGACTCCAAAATATTTGTATCACAGTTCATATCTCTGTGACTATCGAGACTGCGGGTGCGCAATACATCCTGCTTCTCTGATTGTGAGTATGGTCCATATAAATCACCACCATTTGATGTTTTATTCCAGACTGCTGACCTAGGTCGCTGTTGCTGAAATTCATACTCTCTATCATCCCATGTACGAACTGTAACGTCAGGATGATGATTTGTGCTTGGAGGTGGCATGGAGTACCTTCGTTCAGTATGGATGTTAGCATATTGTAAACTTTGTTTCAGTTCTCCATCTTGTGCAAGCCAATAATTCTGATTGTAGTTACTTTGTCGAAAAACAGGTTCAATGGACTTCCTACTGACTGGAGCAACCTTAAAAAAGTGTACAAACAAACACTATGCCCATTACTTCAGAAAACATTTTAAAAATTATTACAAACTGCATCACAAATAATATATACACATATAATTTAACAACCATAATACTAGCTACTAAAAATAATTATATATAAGAATTTCACAGAGTAATTTTCCCATTCAGTTCATATATAATACATTCATATAATAATCTTCTCAAATGATTTTTTAAAAATTTGTATTAAGGACTAATTTTTTTTTTTTTTTTTTTTTTTTTTGTTTGCAAATTAATGAGCAATTCTGAGCTTTTAAACATAAATTTTCATACTTTTAGCTAGAATATTTTGTACACGTCTGCTTCAAATTATGCATTTAAGCATAATTTAGAACAGTAAGAATGGAAACAAACACTTTTTTAAAGTTTTATTTGAACATGATTTATGTACCTTTATATAACGCCTTCTTTATCAAATATATTACTTTGTTCTTTGGTTGGCCATATACCTTTATAAAGTTCTTTGATATCAAATACATTATTTTGTTCTTTGGTTGGCCACATACGTTTATATAAAGTTCTTTGATATCAAACACATTATTTTGTTCTTTGGCTGACAAAAAAAAAAAAAACTTGGTAGAGGAGATATGAAAATAAGCTAAACAGATTGTTATTTGCTAATAAATACGTCGTTATTAATTAGATCAGGAATTCCCAAATGATTTTAGCACAACATTTTGTGGGGTTCCACTCTTTTATCTAACAGCTAAATGTGTAGGAACCTCGTGAAAAAATAAGCGAATAATCGCTTGAGTTCGGGAACAGAAACGTAAAACTCAAGAAGGGTTATTTACCCTATATTATTCAAAATAAGAACTGAACAGTCGGCTCCTTTCTCTGAGCGTACAGCAAAGCCTACACTTGGAATAAGAAAGTAATAAGAATAACTCCACTCCAAAGTAATAAGAAATAAAACTTAATTAATGCTTAACGAAAAAGATATAGCCGAGGCTATCAAGATTCTAAGTAGTTGGCCCCTAAATATGAAATAAGCTGGCAAAGCTATCAAGGGCCTGAAATAATGCCGAGCATAGTAATAGCTTAGAGAGAGACGTAGCCAAAAGACGAGAACGCTCGCTAGTCAGAAACTTTGAAGCTCTCGAAAGAAGTCAGTGGAACTTCGACTTAAGTACCACTCATTTGCATTAAATGCCCTCTAAAAACACATTCTGGTAGGAAATTGTAAGCTGAAATTAGGAAGGACAAGAAAGTAGATTTAACTGAAGAACCTTGTTAGAAACTTAGGATAAACCTTACAATTTCTTTAATAAGTGTTTATGAATTCATACAAATTACCCATCTTGATATTCAAATCAAAATAATAAATATAAAATGTATACTAATAAAGCTTCAATTTATTATTTTAAACTAGATGCAATTGCTTTTACTGACACAGTTAAACTAAATTTAATGCAACATTAATAGCAAATGGACATTAGCAGAACGGTTTGGAGGATTAAATTTTCAGGGACAGTAACGGTAAAGCACTTAAAGCCAGTAAGAAGACTTGCAGTCACTTGCGCATAATTTGAAATCAAGGACATTTTCGTGCAAAGAAATATTCATTGATGAACAAGTAATCTTAATATCTTAATATGCATAATTTAGTAGCACTTGCACACAGAACCACATCGATAAACTTCTGAAACTCGGAACAGTTGTAAGGCTTTAGGCTATTTTAAATGTCTGCTCCTAGAACCGTAAAAATAGGTAGATGTCTAAAATAGGTCCTAGCTTACATTTTATGTGCAGTCACCACGTACTCAAATGAAAGTTTAAATAAACCTATTCATTAATGTGTTGCCCTGATGTATATGCAAACTCATGCAATAAAAGAAACTCAGCATCAGCTAATTACAGGAAACGGTAATTCTAGTCAAACTAAAATACAAAATGTAAATTAACACAGGCCTAAATAAGCTTTGACTAGGGTCCTAAATATTCAAAGCCAAATGCAGTTTGCCAAAGTTAAAGCTGACCAATTAACATAGATAAACAGAATGGAATAATAGAGAGAGTGGCATAAACAGAATATCAGGTTAGCTTTCCCTCATACTCAAGAACTCTACACTTATATAAACTAACTAATTTGCCTTCTTGGGGGATTTGATAAAAACAGAAGTTATAGTAAAGCCAAAGTAATAAAATTAACTGGGTTAATTTACATAAAATTTTATATAATGACTGATTATTAATCTATTTTAGCAAAATTTTTAGTTATTAGAATGCATCAATATAGATTTTATAATATGCATGCACTAGAGTGTATTTGTATGAAGAAGGCTATGTACCGTTAATCTGTCTTGCAAGTACTTATAATTTTTAGACTCTGGACAGGCAGAAAATGCTGGCATGTTGAGAAATAATCAATGGATTTTTCTTTTCATTGTTGAAACACAAATTTATTTTATTTACTTATGAAGTCCCAAGTCAATTAGTCTCTTTGTCCAAAGCACAGACTGTATATTCTTAGCCACATTTCAGTTTTGAGATTAATACAAGAGCATTTAATTTCTTTCATATTTTGTTCGTTGTCTCGTCTTTAATTAAAATACTCTCAATCTTCTCATCCACCTGAATGAATTTTCGTTTTTCAATTCTTTCCAGAAACTTTCAAATCTACATGATTGACTCGGCAGTCATTATATTTTTAACCTTCTCTGAGTGTTGATATATAAGCTAAGAGAAGCTGTGAGAACATCAGATGAGATCTTTACATAGGCTTGTTGAGTTTGTGATTCCATCCTTCTACAGTACTGTTTAAACTTGCTTCTCCCTTTAACTATTCCACGTTTTCTTTACTCAACCATTGACTGAGAATATTGTAATGTCAAAGAATTGTCTTAATTTATGTTCTTCTGGGCAATAATTTCTATATTTAGCCAGTCAGCCTTCATTGATAAATAGTTGAGGAAGATGTGCACATTTTGACACTTGATTAAATTTCTTCATTTTCCAATGCAGATTTAAAGTACAAATGTCTTAGTCATATCCCAAAAGTGCTTGTGTTAAATGATAGTTAACATCCTTTTATTTGGATTAATTTGATTTTTGAGTTGGAAAATAAACATCTCTTATATGGCACTGATTGCTCCTGCTACATCATAATGTATTTCAGATTCCAACCAAGTTTTCCCTTTAAAGCTTAAAAGATTTTGTAAAAAAAAAAAAAAAACTTCATTTTGCTAGATATTAGAGCACATACTACAGCCTCCATATGTTCATCCATTGGGCTACTCAAATCTATATGCAAGAAATACAACTGAGAAAGCTCCTTGAAGCTACATTTGAGTGTTCCATTCATGAAATAATTTGTGGTATATTTCAAAATCAGACAGACTTCCCTTATCAGTCCCACAGCAGTCATTTATTGTACTGATCTGCACCTAGGCAGTCTCGGCACTGGGAGATAAAAACAGGAGCCTAGAGGTTCCAGAACCCCAAGGGAAGAACGTCTTATATGGTTGAACTAAGGATTAGTGGTAAGTCTCCAAACTAGAAGTACTGTAGCAGTGGTTGGTCTGTTGTCTACCGAATTCCATGTAATAAGGTGGCCTAGAGCGAAGCAGACTGCACAATACTGGCAGAGGCATTAATGATGACCAGTCAAATCTTCAGGTTCATACGTCCACAAACCTTGGTGGTCGGCTAGGAAAGATGACCTCGGTCAATAAGTTCAGCCATGGGTTTGAAAAATTTTTAGTCTACCACCTGTAAGTGTAGGATGAGCAGCAGTATAGAGAATTACATTTACTCTCATTGGTGGCAAGATCTGCCTGACAGACCTACCTCTTGCCTAATATGCAGCTCTTATGTTGGGGTAGACCTGGTTGTACATCAATCTGAGTTGTTTGTGGTACTAGAGTGGTTAGTATGACGAGCTCCCTTTTCAGTACTAAAGATGAGAGGTCCGTCTATATCTTTGCTATTGTGCAAAAGGACGCTAGTAAAACCAATAGAAACTGATGCACTATGGCTTACCAGTGTCATCCGGTTCCAGCGTGATATCTTGAATGATTTTCACTGATGCACTCTGGCTTACCAGTGTCATTTGGTTCCAGCGTGATATTTTGAATGATTTATCTGTATTCAATGAAGAGATGACTTGAAATTCTGAGATGATGGTATGTGAACTACAAAACTATAACTCCTGTAAACAGTCTATTGCTATCATTATTAAAATTATTAGTAACATGCCAACTTCTTCTCTAACATGTTTAGAAGCTCTGGACAACTTAAATTTAACTTTTGTTTTGACTAAATCATATTTGTTCAGCAACTTTGCAAAACGCTTTTTGCATTGCCATCCAGCCTTTGTATTTATCAGTAGCCACTTCAGAATTTGCATTAACAGGAAACTGTCATTATGGATAATGGTTGTGGATTGCACATGGTTATTGAAAACAGTTTTCTGAAACCAACTAAAACACTGCATGAATTTGGGAATTTCCTATCATATGCAATACAAGTGGTTATTTTATAGAACTAAAATTCACTCTTATGAAAGTTATGCATTCTTTTATAAAATAATGCTCAAAAAACTTTTTAGATATGCACAATAAAGAACTGAAATTCTTACTGCATTCTCATAACAGTATTGCTAATGATATTAATAAAAATAACGACATGAACTAAGGGAGAAAAGACGTATTCAAGAATTGTTCACATTCAAGAATTATTATATTGTAGAAATTAAATGCAAATTTGGAAAATAATTCTGTAATGCATATAACTCCAAAAGTTAATATTATTCTGAAGTTTAATACAAATGAATCACTGAAATGCACTAACAGAAATTTTCTGAACAGGCGGAATTCGGTATTATAACTCCCTTTTTACTTTGAAAGCTAAAATGAAAAACATGTAAGTCTCAGTAGAGTAATTGAACATAAGCTCATACAGGGAAGAAGAAAAAAAAGCAAAAGTAGTTTCACTGCCAACAGCAATAGTTCGTCTTAGATCCAATCAAACTCCTTCCTCATGTTTGAGAAATATGCATATTCTTAAACAAATGAAACATACCTCCAGGTAGCATATTTATAATTTTTGCCATACATGTAATTTAGATTTTGTAAACGGATCTGAACTGTTAATGAATGTACCATACATTTAGAATTGTGTACCTTTTCTGTGATCCATTTGTTACTATCCATAATTTTTGCCTTTGGAGCAGCTCCCAAGTCTTGAATATTCTGCTTAGCTTTATGTTGAGGACTTTCAGTTAATTTGGAACTTTCATCTGCAATATGAAAGTAAAATATTTAAGAGCTACTAATACATTAGCAATGGATATTTAGAACATTATTTGAACATATTTTAAGTAAGGAAAATATAAAATAAAGGAAGTGAAGTAGTACCAGGAACTGAAGCTGTAAAGACACTTGATGAAGGATATTGCATTTCATAGGAGGCATCAAAAAAGGACTGATCTTCCTAAAAATAAAAGTGATAAACATTTATCAATAAACTTACAATGAAATATAATTTATATGAATTTGTCTAAAATATGTCATTCATAAATAACATTATAATATGTATTCTGACCAGAGATAGCTAAACTGGAATAAAATCAAACGAAATGAATCTGAAACAGTTTTACAGATTTATGGTGCATCATTTTTTAATCACCTGCCAAATGTAGAATAGAGTTTGACACTTGAAACTGGTCCAATCAATTAATTATCTCTATTGTTACACCAAAAACATAATTCTAATTTACTTGCTTTTTTCTCACCAGCTCAGAAGCATATTTAATTTTTTTATACAACACAACATATTGCTATGGTTGCACACTTTCTCTTAATTTTTATATGAAGGTATTTTATGTATATATGCTCATGTGCAAAATTAAGAGAATTTGCAAATTATGTCTACTTTTATGACTAATATTGAACCCAAAATACTAATTATAATGCCAAAGAATTATGAAAATATTCAGAGTCAAAATCACAAACATACATGTGCATGCCTGCAGAGCTGTGACTGTGCAGAGGATTTAAGAGCACAAGGGTGTTTTAGTAATTTGTGTGCTTGTACTCGTTCACAGTATTTGGTGTGTTTCTCATAAGAATTGGATAACTTTTATAAGGCATCAAGTAAAAGGAGTAGCCACAAATGTATTGATGATGGAATGAGATGAAGAATTGTCGTTGGACAAGAGGGAGGCCAGTCACAAGCACAGGTGGCTACAGAGCTCAATGTAATGCTCAATGTTGTCTGTAGTTTGAGGAAATGATTTCAGAACACTGTATAAATACCGCAATGAGCTGGACAAGGTCCATCAGGATTCACAATAACAAATGTGGATCATTTATTGGCACTTTATATGCAATGAAACAAGATTGCTAAAGTTTGACAGCTCTCACGTGAGCTGAATGCTGATACTGGAACCAGAGTTTCATGGTCTACAGTTGCCCAAAAGCTTCATGAGATAAGGCCGTATGCCAGAAGATCTGCTGTTTGTGTCCCGCTCACTGCAGCACACAAGAAAGTGCATTTAGTATGGTGCAGACAGCATACGCCTTGAACCAAACCGTGGTTTTTATAGATGAGTCGAGATTCAGCCTAGATACTGACTCACAATGTACGTGTGTCTGGACAGAGCCTGGAACATGATACCATCCCTCACTCATCAGGAAAGCCAAAACCATTACACCTCCTAATGATCCTTTTTCCTTGGACGGCACACACTATTGGATGTGTTTTGACAAAGGTTCAACAATTGCTATGTGGTATAGAGAGGAGATCTTAGAGCCATATGTTTGACTTTTCAGGGGCACAGTTGGTCCTGGGCTTCTCTGAATGGATGATGATGGTCATCCACATACAGTTCAGCTAGTCAACGATTACCTGGAAAGTGAAGATAATGGCTGCATGGATTGGTTAGCTAGATCTATTGTTCCCTATCCGTAACCCTATCCGGAATGTCTCAAGTAATTTATCAATTTTACTGCATAAATTGCTTTTCACACAAAATTGAATTAGCGAAAATGCTTAATCAGAATGAGTTCTTTAGTGCTCTGCATTGGTTCTTGATCCCTTTAATTCACGGAAATATTTGGCCTAACTTAAATTGCCATTTTGGCATCACCTTATTACTTGAATAAAGGACGAAACACCTTCGTATTTATCTCTTAATTATTGTTAATTGAACGGGAGTTGGTTTGTTCCCCTTGAAAAGTCAACTAATTTCCGATCAATGGCAATGATTACTTGCTTTTAATTTAATTTCTTTTTACAATTGAAATTTTTTTATTCATAATTTAATTCAAGTCCCTGTTAAACATTTTTAACAATTTACATACAAGTTACTTTAAAACAATTTTTGGAACTAAACTTACTAATTATGGATTTACTCTTTTTAGATAATTCTACTAAAATTAATCTTAGGAGATATATAATCAATATTTCTTTAGTAAATAAATTATATATATATATATATATACACACACACACACACACACCATATATATGTGTGTATGTATATATTACTCAAATGCTTACAAATGAAAAAGAAACTGCTGTTCAGACAGTAGCTATTTCATAACCTATCTTAGTGTCACTGAGAAGCAGGTAAATATTTTAAATATTACTCTTGCACTTACAAACAGTACATTATTAATTACATTTGAAAGGCACTTTAAATGTACTACATGGTTAGCAATACTTCATTGACTTCCAGTGAGAATTTTTTTTAACCTATACAGAGCCTAATTTAATGTGTAAGCCAATCACAGCCATAAAACAGTTTGTAGGTCTTAACTAGAATAAGTACATTTTTCTGAAAAAAGCAGCAGCAGTGAACTGATTCTGGATATTTGCTTGTTCCTGATTTACAGCCACAATTTTGAAAATCTTAAATGTCCACCAAAAATTGAATTCAAGAGGTTCTGAAATATCCTGGAAAATGTATGCAGACATAAAACCATTGATTACTTGATATCACACACACCTCAGCAATATTATATAAAGAACAAAATGTATAGGATGAAGTATATGATTTGTATCATTTTCAATGTATAACAGTTTGAGATGCAATCACATATTCTACATAGTTAGGAAGATAAATCCAATAGATTTTCTAAAAAAAAGACGTAAAGACCTAAGCAAGTGTATATTTTCCAGAAGTAAATTTCAGAAAGGAACTCCCGTCTAGATATTCAGACACAGAAAGCTAATATCATCCACATTCAAGAAAGTGAAGTTTCAATTCAAAAGTACATAAAAAAATAGACACAAAGAAAATATTTTTGCATTTTTATTCTATTATTTTTATTAATTCTAGTCTTATTATTCCATTATTTTGTTCAACATGTTAAAATATGACAATAATAATAATAAGATAACTATTAAATAAAGTTCCAAAAATTCTACTACAATTTAAGAACAATTCAAATGATTAGCAGTTTTAGTACAAGCCATGAAAATGGCTTTTTTGGTAGTTTAACTTTTTTTCCCCCATTTCTTTATGCACTAGAAATATTTAATCATTCGAACCAATTAACAATGATTCAAAGATTTCGATATTATTGAAGGAATTGAATTATTCAAGAAATAAAAGTTAGATGCCCTATATTAATTCACTTTTAAGTTTTAATCAAATTATGGTTTAAAACCAGAAATTTTCCCTAGAAATTATGCAACTCTGTACTACAAATCTTGTAATCAGTTTTCATTAAGGAATAATTTCACTACATTCATTACTAGAGTTCCATAATTTAACAGCTTCACAGAAATAAAGCTAGAGAGCAGAGCTAATAACAATGAAAATCAGAAAAGTTATTCCTTTAACAAATTAGCATTTCTTCCATAACACAGGTGCAGAAATGTGCTAGTCACAGCTTTAAAAATTATCATAGAGTGAAAAGGATGTATATTGTAAACATTCAGAGTAGAAATGTATAATAAAATTTTAAGCAGTTTCTTTTCATTTAAAAACCTGTTTAGTGGCCTACTCTTGCACAATACTGCTGATGCCATTATCTCCAGAATAAACTAAACTTGTGAAACTGCCATACTGTCAGTGCAGCACACATCTTTGATATACTGTCTATTAGGTATCCTGGTATTTCCTGAGATGACATTAACATTTGGTATTTTTTCCCCTTGAGAACTAAATAATGCATTCACAAGGCGGAAGCATATAAGAAGCCTTAAATAACAGATTATAATGATAAAAACTTATAAATTATCTTCTGAAAATAAAACTGCACTTACATAATTTTCTTTCCAATGATCATTTTCAGCATCAGTAGTAGCAATTTCTGAATTATCTTCTCTCTCTTCTATGAAATATTCAGAATTATAATCACCTGCAATATTGAAATCACATTTGTGGAAAAAAATGAAACAAAATAAACAAATGTATCTTAATTAGGATACCCTCCATCACCAAATATAAAGCAGATTTTAAACAAAGATATTATAAGCTTAATCAAACTAAGTACAAAGGGATAAGATATATGTTTCAATCAAGTCAAATTAGATTAGTGCAGCGAAAAAGACTCTGAAAAAGAATTTAAAGAACAAAAGGCATAAACTCAGAAAACTAATACGTATTTAATAATAATTTTGCAATTCTTATGCAGATAATCATATCAAATATGACAAAACATAAAAATTAGTGAAAAAGAGAGTACCATCAGAAAATGCCTCCCCAGGCCACTTTCTATTGGTGCGATTGATTCATAAAATATTGAACTGAAATGAATAAAAGCATTGGCTTTAATTTCCCTCCTCAAATAGCCGCCCTCCTTTTTTTTTTTTTTTTTTTTGAGAAAATTTTTCCTTATATAATAGCTGTAAAAGTGGGAATGGAAGCATAAATAAAGATAGAAAAGTATTTGTATTTAATGCAGATAAGATGCGAAATTAATATTATAGAATCAGAGGTCCTGAAGCCTAATGCTTATATAATATCAGAAATGATTTTTAAAAAATTATGTGCATGCAGGTTCAGATCTGAAACTTTATTGATTTCAAAACATCTAGACTAAAAGACATACTTTAAAAATTAAATTTAAACTCATAGTTACCAAATTAAAGAAAACTAAATGTTTCTTTTCAATTAATCTGCAAGAATTTGTTCTTTAAACACATTTTACTAAGTTCATGGTCAGAAACAGTGTTAAAACCAGAAAAGCAGCAAGTAGTGCATGCTCGTTAAATGCAACAGAAACTTTGTAGTAAAGGAAAACTTCTAACAGAGAGGTATATGTTTGTTCCCTGAAGTACAAACAGTTGCATGGCAAGAGCAATAGATAATTATTCAAATAACACGTTTTCAATGAATACTGAAAATTATTGCATAATAAATATGTGTTTTGTTTAAATTCTGTATTTACGATTGGATACGAGCTGTCGCAATGCAGAAGGATTATATAAGCAAGCATGAAATCGAAAGACGCAGCTCTAAAAAATAGTTATAAATAATTTAGAATAGAAAGGGGGATACACAAATTAAAATGAGAATTATGGATTATTGCTAATTTATAATTTTCAGGTACCGATTTTTTTTTATCTTACATATACCTCTCCTTCAATGAGAAAAAGCTTTAGCGATGAAAAAAAAGAAGAGAAAAAGCATGAGAGAGAAAGCAAAGCAGGAAAAATATAATTTGGTCAAAAAATCATAAAATCCAAATTTTGAATATAACAACTTCAGACCAATGAATGCAAAGTTTTGAGACCCACTGAAATTTTCAGTCAAACTATAAAGTTTATCAAGTTAATTTTTCTCTGAAAATATTGCAACTCCTAATTTTTTCAAATTCGTGCATGAATACCCTTAATGTAATTTTCACAGTCCCAGTTGTAGTAATGAAGGAATGTTATGGTAAAATAATATTATAATAAAAACATTATAGTAAGAAAATGTTGTGGTATTACCCAATATCAATTAACAATGCAAATTACCATGTGTGCCCAATCAACACGTGCTATTAAAATAAAATAAATACACTGCACTATATAGATGCAAAAACCTGATTTTAAAAGTATGGTGAACATAAATCTCTTCCAATCTATTACTTGCAAATAATAACAACAAGTGTATTTTCTTGCTTGTATAGTACCAGTAAGACGTATCACGAATTTCGCATGTGTATCACGAAATTCGCATTACTTTCTTTCTTTTTTCATCTACTTAATTATCATGATTATGTGAAACATTTCCAAAGAGACAAAACAGATTCCACCATCATTTTTACAGGCCTTGGGAGTTCTATTCATAACAAAATTATACACGGTTATGAGACACATGCCTGTCTCTAAAGATACTGTTAAATAAGGCTTTGACAAAACACTGAACTTGGAAAATATCACTGCTGCTAATCTGTTCTTGAATTTAAGCAGATTAATTTGTATGTATGAAGAAGCTGCACTAAATTACGTCTATATTTTAAATGACAGTACATGGCTCGCACACACAATAGCAGGACGAATTCTTATAACCAAAAAGCATCGTTCTTTGATATAATAAAGAAGATACTTGCTTCAGATGAAGTTAATCTAACCATTTTCTATTGTTTTGAGCACACAGTTCTCTTAATTATACCAGTCATATTTAGCAAGTTGAAGATTTTCATTATACTATCGCTGGAGACATAGCACAAAAAAGCGTAGCAGGGAAAGTGAGGCCAAAGCCTCCTTCCCCTTGCCACACACCATACAAAAATAAAAAAAAAAAAATTAATAAATAAAAAAAGGAGGGAAAAACCGGTTTAGTGAGAATTTACGCAATCTCTTTGGGTGAATTCTATGGAGATTAATTAATCACAGTTCAACTGTGAATACTTGCTTTCACACTGGTCTTGAAAGCCTTTTGTAAAAACTATTGTAGTCAATATTGAAACAAAATTTTCCTTTACATAATCATGGAATTCTATTTAAATTAATTATTTACTCATTATAAATAATCTACATTTTCTTATTGTAAAGCAACGTAAAATGCACTTTAGAAATTAACAAACATAGAAAAGTAACAAAATGCAGTATAATACCAAAATAAACTTTGATAGAAAATATGGTCAGGTCCTCTATGAGCAAACCAATGTAACTACTTTCTGATGTCTGTGGAGTATTTAAATACAATGGCAGATTAAAAATCTTCATTCCTTATAAAAGGTAACTGACTTCTAGCATTGTATGAATACACCAAGTTATTAACTATGATGTATGATGATATAGTTCTTCAGTGTTACATAATGGAAAAAAAAAAAAACATAAACATACAAAAATTAAAAAAAAGAAAAAGGAGGAATATGTGAGATAAAAATAAGAAAGAAAACAATTAATTTCACTTTAGCAATAGTTCCCATTTTAATTTGGTTACATATTTGGTCATTAAACTATGAATCTAATCTGCATCACCTGAAAAATTAATCTGCATTATATCATCTTAACAATGCTGCCATGCAGTTAGCCCTTTTCCAGTCACTTCTCAGAATTTAAACAAAGAAACCAACTCTAAAAATACTCTTTGCTGACTTTCACACTCAAATACATGCAGCCTATTTCTCTGCTTCATCCATTGTCTAGAGATGTGACCCATTATATAAAAGTGTTGAGGGTGCTTATTACTTCCAAAATGATGAGTGAACATGTTTATGCTAATCAAGAATGCCCAGAAATGAATTAATGTGTTGTTTTGGTCATGTCTGTCTCTGCTATGGCATCTTATGTAATATTTTCTGAACTAGAAAAGTGAATTAAAAATTCTTCTTTTAATAAATTCGTCTTCAATGTCATCTCATTCACGCATATAAAATATAAAAGCCTCACCTTTTAAAAAATCCAGAAAACCAGTTAACTTTTCTTTATCAGAAATACCTGTTGCACATCATCATTTTTCAGAAAACATAATGTACTTATGAGTGGGAAGATCTTTTGTGGGATCAAATACCATTATTGAAACTGTAATGTAAGGGCTGAAGTCTTAAGAAAACTGTTTAAGGATTATCACAAGCTTATTTAAGCTGTTATGACTTTTCTAAAAGAAAAACTATAGGTAAATTTATCTTTGTCAATGCACACAATTTCAATTTTCGTGGGACATTTCTAAGGTTTTTGACCTTGCAATATTAGAATTTTGTCAAAGAATCATAAATTTCTTAATATAAGCATATAAAAACAACAATGTAAGAGAATAGGAGGGATAAAGTTTTTCCTTTTCCTTTATGAAATACATTATTTCATTAATGGGGTGGTGCTGGCGTTTGGATAATACACATAGGGAGAAGTAAAGATGACACAACAACGTGTAACTTGTTTTGCTTTGAATTTCTGACTGTAAATAAAATCTATGGTGAAATGCAAAGCTGGGCATTTAAAGTAATTAACAATGATTTTATGTTCGAGTTAAAAAATAATAATTCCTTTATACATAATTTAAATTTAAGACAAGCGCGGGAAGCACCACATATTCTAAGATGCTGCCCCCTGGTCTCAACAGATTCAGCTCTAAATAAAATGGTGGCTATTGTTTGCAAAAAGTATTTTCACTTTGCAGATATGTTATAGACGAAAAGCTGATGAGGTTCGAAAATGTCATCCAAATAGCAGCATTTTGGCCCCTAACTCTCTAGCAGTTTCCTTCTCAATATTTGTTAGAGCTCAAGCTTACTTAGAAAGTATACAGATCTACCTGCTTATCTGAGACAAAGTCTGTTCAAACTTATGCTATTAACATCTTCATAAATTCTTCCTCTAAGATTAAATTGAATGTTAAATATAATTCACATTCTCTCTAGATGAATTTACAAAAATCACAAAATTAAGACACAGCTCATCAGAGTAAAGAACCTGTGCTTGTTAATATTGGGTTTTATTGTTAAATGATGGCTCAATACACAGTTCATCACACTGAGTATTTTATGAGGCTTTAAACCACAGCATATTTAGGTACAGAGATCTGCATTAAGTCTTTTTTAAATGATATACCATAAAATTCTTTTCCCTGTAACTATTGCAAGTTCAAGAGCGAGCTGCTTAACACTATGTTTGCTTTGAGGCAATAGTCAACATTTTTTAAAACATGGCTTGGCAATGACCTTGCCTGATAAGGGATGAATATCATTATAACCTGACTTAGGGCTATTTCTTAACCTTGATTTCAGGGCTACATTTTGGGGCATATTTATTGTTCCAGATACTTTATTCCGGAACTAATCTCTTTTATTTCATCAGTTACTCTGTATGATTGATAATCAACAGATTAAAGCTTTTGAGATATGAATAGGCTCTTAATAAAATACAGACAAAGTGAATCCAGTGGGTGAAAACTGACTGCTGTGTCCTTTCTTCATGGGTCTAATTTTCAGATCCAACATTTGCAGACATATACAGAAACAATTTTTCCTTCTGCGTGTTTTGTATTTGCATATTTATTAGAGACTTACAGTTCCTTTCTCATATTGTTAATTACTATAGTTTTATAAATTAATCTTCAACTTTGAGCAACAATGTACAATAATTATTAACAGTAGTTTTCAAAATGGCGACAAATATACTTACTGAGGCTGAAGTCTTCAGGTATTTGACTAACACATTCATTAGAATAGAAAACAGAATCTTCAGTTTCAGCTAAAGAAAGCCTTTTCTCTAACCATTGACTCTGTTCTCTTTCTTGTTTTAATATTTCTTCCAACCCAGGAGGAGGAGGAGGTATATTATCTGGAAATGCAAGTTGAATTAGAAAAATTCCCAATGACAATCACACAATAGCTTTTTTTAATTCAAAATGTTGCACATGTACAAAAATACATAAAGTTAAACTGATCTGCTTTTCTCAGATAAAGCATGAGTAATATTCCAAAAGAATCTGCTTTTCAAACTTATTAATTTGAAGCATCTTTTACCTGCACTGAAATTTTGCTCATTGAATTAATAGAAAAGCATAATACTGCATAGATTACAATTAATAGGTACTAATGTGTATCTGGCCTAACACCAGATGGTTACCCTGCAGACATAGGCAGCAAATAGGAGGCATGCAGGCTGCTTCTGCACCCCAAAAATTTTGGGTGATTAAAATGAAGAAATGATAATTGAAATAGAAGAGGGAAAAAATGACTTTGACATTTCAATTTCTCTTTATTTTCCATTTCGATTTTGAAAGATGGTTGTATATTTGAATAAGAAATGTCAAAAGCATTCAGCCACCCTGCCAACCTTTTCAATAGCATAACGACTGAATATGATGTAGTCGCTAGAATACCACAACGGCCTAGCAAGGATTCCACCGGCACCCTTCCTTCAGTCACAATAGTTATTCTTCCTGGCTTATTACACTTTTCTTGAACAGTTCAGAAATGCCCACCTGTATGATGATTGCATCATAAGGAGAAATTTTCTTTCATTATTAGAAGTGACATCACAGTGTGCGATGTCACCAAGCTACTAGTATGGAAGGGTGCAAATTGGCTCTTGACCCTTATTGGCTGGAAACGATTTCATTTCCTCATTACTAAGAAAACCTGCTGCCCAATATAATTTTGCTGCAATGATCCATTTATGCTAAAAAGTGTTTATTTTCCCCTTCTACTTCATCAAACATGAACTCTAAAACAGCATCGTTTGACAATTGCAGATTTTTTTACGAAAGCTTCTAATATATTTGAAAATGTTAATGAGCATATGAACTCTTTGGAGGAAATCCACAAGGAGTTCACTCAACAGAGGGCTGATGATAAATGATTTTAAATTGTACCATCACAAGATTATCAAGTAAGTTCTATAATTTTGCCTGTAATTCATGAAAGAGACCCTGCTAATGGTCCTCAAAGTGCCAAAGGAAATGTAACTTTAGGTCCTTATCAATCTGAACTTTTTGTTTTCCCACTCGATAAAAGAAATCGTAAGTTTAGAAAAGAGTGGTACAATGCATACAGATGGTTAGAACATAGTCCTTCAGCAAATAAAGTGTTTTGTTTTTGGTGCAGAGCATTTTCAGATCCTAATAAAGGGTATACTGAATCTGCATTTACAATCAATGGGTGTAGTAACTGGTCGAAGGCAGTTCAAAAATTTAAATCTCATGAGTCTTGCGATTCTCATAAAAACACAGAAAGTTATTTGGTAAATTTTACTGAAAGTTTATCATCAGGTTCCATCTGTGCTAAGTTTAATAAGCAGTATTCAAAAGAAGTTGATGAAAACAATACATATTTGAAAAAAGTCTGTAAATGTTTTTGTGCATGTCAAGGAATTTCTTTGAAAGGACCAAAAATAAGTTCTAATAATAGAGACAATTTTTGGAATTAATGGATTTGAGAGCTAAAGACTGCCCATTAATTGAAAAAAGATTTTAAATAAAGAGAAATTCTATTCTTATGTACATAAAGATCATCAAAATAATATTCTTAATTTATGCATATCACAAATCTGTAACTATAATTCAAAATAAAATAAAATAAAAGGCTCATGCTATGTTTCTGTAATGGTAGATGAAACTCAAGATATTCCCAATCATGAGCAAATAGCTGTAGTTTTCTGATACATAGATAACAACCTGAAATTCAATGAACCTTTTGCTGGATTATACATGACTAAAAAAACTAATGGAGAATCCTTGTATAATTTATTGAAAGAAGTAATTTCTTCATTTGGGCTAAATCTTTCAGATTTACGAGCCCAATGATATGATGGTGTGCCCAATATGGAGGGGACCATACAGTGGTGTAATCACACGAATACTGCAGGATAATCCAATGGCAATTTACGTTCATTGTTATGCTCATATCCTAAATCTGTGTTTAGTTAGTAATGTTTATCCAGATAATTGCATTTGAGCGGCTTAATGCACTGCACACATTCATAGAAGTGCAATCAAAAAGGCATGCCATTTTTGAAAAAATAAGCTTGACCACAAATACATTTTATGTTGGCTCATCAACTTTAAGATCACTCAGTGATACTAGATGGAGTGGCAAAGTGGAGCTATAAAGGCAGTGTTTGTTAAATTTGAAGTTGTGATTTTAACACTTAAAGACACATCTAAAAGTGATGCTCTTAACGGTGGGAAAGCCAGTACCATTTTAATATGTATGACATCATTCGAATTTTTATTCACTCTATCTGTTTTACACAAAGTTCTTGAACAATGCAGTGATCTTTCGAAGCACCTTTAGTCACCTGATCACAGTTGTGATGTTGTAAAAATTTTATATAAAGCTACTATCGAAACTCTTGATTCTTTCTGCAATGATGTGTTTTTAAATAAAGTGTGGAGTTTCTCTTCAAGTGAAGATCAGACACAACTTTCATTAAAAAAAAATTTGTTCAATGTAAAAACTAAGTTTGTAAACATGCTGTTATAGAATGTTCTGTTCGCTAAGCAAGGAAAGTCAGAATACATGGAGTGAAAAATTATTCTTCTTCGTTAAATTTTGTTGAAAAAGCAACAAAATTTAATTCCTCATTAAACAATTTATAAGTGCAGAAATTTCATCAAAGTGGAACCCAGACATAAAGCATTTTAGATGTAATCTTAATCAACCATATCTTCCCCAATCTAATTTGTAACAGCTGTCAACGATGTTTAGATCGCTTACATCTAAACATCATTTATTTAACTTTGAAAGTTCTTGTCATAACTAAACAGAAGAGTACATAGTTATTTTAAATGAATTATTGACCTGTAATTTGTCTTCACAACAGCAATAGACAACTTTTTAAACTACTTGTAAGAAAAAATAATCGATTACCTACCCACATCTACTCCTTCTGGAGAATCAAGACCAAGAAAATCTGACCTTCTGCGCCAAAGTTCTTTTTTTATTCTTTTAGTAGAATTAGTACGAGCTACAGATACAGCCTAAAACATAAAATAAATTTCAGTATATCTCTATGAAATTTTTAAAAATTTGTGAAAAATGTCATTTGTTATTTTGAAGAATAGTAAAAATAAAAGAAAGAAAAGTTCTTAAATTTTAAAGCAGTATTTCAAAAATAAATTAAATTTTGAATTTAATACACTTTAGTTCTGAAATGTTCTTAATAAAAATTATTAATGTTTTTAATAAAAATAATAATTTAATCTTAATTTAAATTCTTAATAAGAACTAAATTTAGAAAAATGAATGAAAATTAATGAAATATGTTTATGGTGCAACAGGTATATTAAAAATAATTTTGAAAACATGGTCTTTCTAAGAACTTTCTCTTTTGGGACTTCTAGAATTTAAAAACTGTTTTTCTTGGGCTTCCTATCACAGCTGTTCTTCACGACTTTCTGTACTGTAAAATGCTAGCGTATAATATAAGTGCTAACATTAGCTATAATAAAATTAGCAGAGCCCAGATAATTAGATAAGCAGTATGAATTGTGAATTTATCAAATTAAATATTTCATTTCATATTAGACCTAAAACATCCTACATGCAATGAAAAAAAAAATGCTTCAGTTTTTATATAACTTAGATTTAAAGCTTTCTTATGTAAAGATACAGATGGGATAAGTATTAAATAAAAGCTTTGTAGTACATTTAATATGAACAAAGTTGACAAAAGAAGTAAAGAATAACATACTAAGAGTCACTGAGTTTGTTAGTATTCAATTTAGCTACTTCTTCATTCACAGCAAAAAAAGTACAAAGTTATGATGGGGGGGGGAATAGAAGCCTTTTTTAGGAAAAAAGTGTGCAAGATAAGTAACCATGATTTGCAGATAAATGACAAAATACCTACAAGCAACTCAAAGTTACTATCATTCAGAAGTACAGTGTCACTAAACAGAATGGGTAAGTGGCTTTAAATTCCTTGTTTCAAAACTATTAGGTCTTTCCCTTTAATAATTAAGAATTTAATTTATAATAATTACAAATATTATGTGTAAAACATACTTCTGTAGTTTTTAATTTATCTGTTATAATGCTTAAAATTTCACTTATTCTTGGACGCTTTGGAATTATGCTTAAAAGAAGAATATGTTTTAGTATTCCATTCTTCTATTTTTAGAATGTGAGAAGAATTTCTTCTTATGCAGCTTAATTTTTGTATTAATGGCTTCAGTTTATATCATTTTGATTAAAAGTATCTAAAACAGCATTAGTTCACTAAGCTACTTCAAACTAAGCTATCTAAAACAGCATTAGTTCACTAGCCTACATAAAATTTCCTATATAAATGGAAATTTCTCAAACATTATGATATATTATTCATACTCATGATACTCATAATATTATTATTTTCTCAAACATTTGTTAATGAACTTGTGCTCCTCATGGAGGGGACATATATTCATTATCACTTTGCATAGTTCAAGTTTTGTTTAAAGTCTCATCCAGTTGGTAGTGCATGCGTGGAATGAGAACCGGTCGCTTGTTTCATGTATATAAAGGACCTCAATGTTGCATTAAAATCTGTTTATCAACCTCTGGCTGCAGTGAACGTTTAGTTAGTGGTTAATATGCCCCATCAGCAGCGGAAGATGCCATACCAACAACTAACGAAGCTAGAACAAGGCCGCATTATCCGTATGCTAGAGGGTGGACTTTCGCATCGAGCAATAGCAGCATGCACGCAGCATAATGCCACAACAGTGATGTGAGTATGGAAGAAATGAACAGAGGAGAACCAAACTAGGTGAAATCCTGGTAGTGGGGAACACAATAGCATGGGAAAATAGATATCTCATCCGTATTGTTGTGAGTGATCATACAGTGTGCTTTCATGTGTTAGTTGGAGCATGGTGACAGGTGTTGTGTTGTCTAGCTCCACATTTTTGTCGTTGTCTGCTGCAGTATGAACTGTGTGCAAGGGTTCCTCTATGCAGGATTTTTCTGTCGCTGCATCACAAACACCTCACACTTCAGTGTGTACGGCAACACAGTGCATATTGTACCCTGTAGCCGCAAGTTGTTTGCTCTTATGAATTTCGCTATAATTTGAAATACAATCACGTAAGAGTATGCGCCAGACATTACAGGGGGAATACTATCCAGCATCATACCGCACAAGTGCCTAGCATCATGGTGTGGGGAGCTAGGGTATAATTGTTGATCCTATCTAGTACAGATTGTGGGCAACCTCAACAGTGATTGCTACATAAGGGAAGTTGTGGGGCTAAAGGTCCTCCCCATTCTTTGACACATTCAGGGTGCTGTATTTCAGGAAGATAATGCCCGTCGCATGTTTCTCAAACTGCACAAGCCTTCTTTAGGGCACAACAGGTTTCACTTTTTCCATGGCCTGCTTATTTCCCAGATATGTCACCCATTGATCATGTCTCAGATTTGCATTGGTTGGCTACTCATTCATACAGCTGGCGGGTCACACACTAAGACTGAACTTTGGTGCCAACTCAAAGTCCCAGGATTAGATTCAATGAATTTACATTTTCAGAACCTATATGAGTCAATGCCACAGTGTGGACAGGCTCTCTTCACTTAGCGTAAAGGACAAACAAAGTAATGATTTCCGAAGTTTGTTTTGTGTTTTTGTCTTGTAAATTTGATCGTTTATTTGCACTACTATCAGTAATATGTGAAGTGAATTTAATTCATTTTTGACTATTCCTTCATGGTGTTGCATTTTTCACAAACATTAGTGTAAAAAAAGAATTATGCTTTTATTTTCTTATCTCAAATAGTTTGGAATGTTTTTTATTTTGTAGGGTGGCCATTATAGCTATTTATTTGTACAATTTTTAAAATTTTTATTCCGTTTTGCCCAGAATGAGAGAATTGTAAAAATGAATTGTATCAAATTCCACAATTTTTAGTATATGTACTTTCATGCATATACAAATACACATATATGTGTATGTATATGTTTTACCTTCTTTTCAGAAATATCCATTTCTGGTGGTGGAGGTGGAGGTGGGGGTTCACTTGGAGGCTCTAATTTTCGAGGAGTAAGATCCTCTAATAATTCAACTTCATCCGTGAAATAAAGCCACTGTTTACTGATATCTTGTTCAAGTTGTGCTTGTAAGCCTTCTTCATTTTCCTGCAGCTATTTTATTAGAAATACATAAATAAATAAATAATTGGCAAATGAAATAATAAAAATGAATTAAGAATATAGGAAAGTTGATTTTCAATTACAGAAAAGACAAATAAATATCAAATTTAACAGATGATTAAAAGCACCAATAAAGATTTATTTTTAATTGAAGGGCTTCATAGGAAAAAAAAATGCCCTATGTTTACCTATTTTAAATTTTTATACAATGAGGCAACTTTTGACATCTTTTATTATACTAATTCAGACTCATGGTTTCTTTTGATGTAAAATCATTATTCACCAATGTCCCAGTGGAGGGTGCATTAAGATGTCTAGAAACCAGACTTCGTGAATTTCATTTCTCTTGCATCGAAATTGATGAGCTAATTTCTCTCACTCAACTCTGTTTGAAACAAACACATTTTTTTTCCAAAATAAATATTACAAGCAAACTGAGGATTAGCCATGGAAGCCCCCTCAGTCCCATCCTGGCTGATATCTACATGCATTATTATGAATCAAAATTGTTTGAAACTTTAAACTTCCCGGCATGGTTCCGCTACGTAGACGATCTTTTACTCTGTTTGAAGGTAATAAAGATGATTTAAATAAGTTCTTTCAACAATGAATTCTATTGATCCTGCTATTCAGTTCACTTTTGACTTGAGACTTGCAATCTCTTCGTTCTCGACATTCTGGTCACACGTAACACATCCAACTTCAGTACTACGGTTACCGTAACCTTCATCGATTTGCCTTCCACCACACTTTAATCATGTCATCAGACTAAACAAAAGTTAGCTTCATTTTATTCCTATGTTTTCCGTGCTCTCAAGTTTGCTCCTCCAAACTAGCCCTTGATGAAGAACTAAATTATTTAAAAGCAATAGCTATTGACAGGGGCTTTCCACCCAAATTATTAATCAAGCAGTTAAAAAATTCTCATCTCAACACACTAAAAGGCACACTCTTGTTTTAGGAGATTATAAAATTCTGTTGTCATTCCCTTCTTTTCCATCAATTAGCTATAAAGTTGCACATATTTGCAGAATTTTAACTTTCGGGTTGTTTATTCTCCCATCAATAAAATTCCAGTTCCAGACTCAAGGACCCCATTCCGGATATGAATCCTGGGGTATTTATAGGATTCCTTGCCAGTGTGGTTTATTTACATTGGCCAATAAGAAAAGCCTTAAAATTTCGCGTCAAGGAACATGAGGCATATGTTAGAAAAGGAAACACAGAAGTCTTCTGTTGCTCAACATGTTGGTCCGAAAACAACACTTTCAGTTTTTCTGCTGCCAAATTATTCAAAAAACATCTTCCATTGGAGAACTGGATTTTCTAGAGGCATTTCACTTCATAAAAATCTTTCTGTCCTAGTTAACGATCCTAATTCCAATCCAATTTGCCTTCGGCCTTTAAAGAATATGTTTTAGTTCTGGTTTTACCAACAGATGGCGCCACTTGCTTATTCTTGTTCAGGCTTTCTTATCTTATCTAATCATTATTTCCTATCTGGTTCATTTGCGGTTTTGCAGCTGAAGATGGTGGTTCGGTAAAACCATCGAAACTAGTCCTGTGAAAATTTGGTAAATATAATGCTGATTTTTGTTGTTTGACTTTCTGAATTAGTATTTATTCGGCGTGTTATTGTGTCTTAATCTTTTATTATATTTAAGATCTTCCATCACAAACAATATGCTCCCATTCCCTCAAGATATAATCTTTAACTGATTATACTTGGATTTCATTAAAAAATAATGTTCGTAAACATGCTGATATACTTTCAAAAAGCTTCTCATCCTAAAGCAAAAGGAGAAATCTTCAAATGTCTTGCTTAATCATTGTTCAATCAATAGATAAGTTATATCCCTTGTTTTAAAAACAGCTTAGAAATGTTGATGACATATCAGTCAAACCAACATTAACATGTGACTTATGCAACTATTTTAACATAGAATTGAATACTATTTTTAACTTTATCTGCAAATATAGCTAAATGACTTATTGTAAGAGGGCTTGTCACAGTTTCATTTATATATTACTTTCCTTTAAAATCACTAGAAATGAAATAGCCTTTCATGACTTTTCTCCAATAATTAACTGTATTCATGCAGTTCCACATCCATTTAAGCAAACACTTGAATAATTCTAACTGAAAATAAATTACAATTAAAATTGTGCAAAAAGAGATTTTCAAACATTACTTTCTCTTGAAAATTTACAATTGGCATATAGGACTTTTCTGCTGAGTCTTCCATTTTCGATACAGAAAATAACAGAAATACTTTTAAATAATGAACTAGGTTAAATAATTTATTATTATGCATAAAATAACCTAAGTTTAATTTATTAACTCTCACACATTGAAGTGAATTAACAATTAGCAATGAAATGATTAACAGTCAATTTAGCTTAAGGACATTTATTTTTAATGGACAATAGTTGCACCTGTATTTTATGAAAAGCAATCAGCCCTGAAGATTGATACACTCTCTTATGAAAAAGAAATAGCATTACATTTAGCATTATACAGAAAACGAATAAACACACCATTGCATCAAGTAATCAACAAGTGCTCTTTCCTACAATTGTCATATTTCATATGCATCATTCATAAGGATGAGGAGAAATAAATCTTCTCTGAATACATATGTACTCTAGTTATACTCTCTTGTACTTAATTCGACATTAATGCTCGTAAATTCTTTTACGATTTATAATTGATTAAACAGTTTATTTTAAAAAATTAGGCAATGATGAACAGAACTAATAGCCTTTTTATCAAAGAAAAAGAAAGGTAAAGACACCCATATTATGAAAGCAGCTTCTCCCTGTCTTATTTGTTGCATTCCCAAGGAGGAAAGAGGTATACTAAGCAGAACAATGAGAAGTAAGCGTGGGCATTTTTTTGGGGGGGGGTAAGCTGGAGAAAATTAAGTAAATAAAAATAATAATTAAAAAAAAAATACAGTAGAGTTATCAGAAGGTTAAATTTAATCATTAAAATATAAATAAGAATTTTCAGATTAAATTATTAAAATATCAAAAACAGTCTAATTTGGAAACTATACTTTTTATCTACACAGGTATACCGTATTCTGTTTTATTATAATACTGCAAATTATCTCACGGCTGTAAACTATTTTTAATTTACATTTGGTTTACATATTTATACTTTTTGACATATTTCTTATTGAGATATTTGCATTATCAAACACTAGTAACAGGTGTTAAGTTTTTAAGCAAGAGAAAGAAATGGAACGTGAAAACTTCTAAAATACCAGATTTGTTCACAACATCAATAAATCAATAAATAGAATATTAATTATGTTCAGAAACAGCTTCCAATTGATTATTAGCTTATTCATGCTTCTTTCTGAGCAAATGCAATAAACTTGTAGGTGATGATACATCCCAACATGTTATACAAGTAGTATTTTATGGATACCAGATAAACAGTACACTGTGTATTTAAACATTAGATATAAATGTAACTAAAAATAAAATTTCAAGAGGAATGTAAAGTATCTAAACATGAACACTAGCAATTATTATGATTAACCCTAATTAAATGCTGGTTATAATTAACTCATTAAAGTTTGCACTGGGACATCTCATCTGTATATTTTGTCTTTGTATGCATTTCAAATTATTTGGATAGTATGGCCACTGAAGACAATGAACATCAGCTAACACTTTAAAATGGAAACTTTAAGGGGGGAAAAAAAGTCAGACTTATTTGCAGAAACACATTAATAGAGGATTTGTATGGGAAATAGTATTCGTCATCATATCGGTAGATTGTGTTAAAGATTAAATGCATCGTTTGATTAAAGTGACCACATTTTCATTGAGATAAGCGGGAGAAATCGAATGAAATGAGAATTATAATTTAGTTATGAAAGCAGACCAAGATTCATATACTTGTCTAAATGTACAAAAATATATTTATTATTAACTATTAGTAACTAAAAAAATATCTGTAAAAAACAACAATTTGAATATTATGTTTTTTAATTAATTTAATATTTATTTTAAAAAATTATAATCTTCTTTCACAGTTATATTTTTTTGTCTGAGTGAATACTTTGCAATAAATTCGGATCATTTATTAAAATGTAGCGAAATTTCTCACATGAATTGGTCAAATTATATTTTAGGCTTAGTACAGATTTTAAAGTTTTAATGTTCAACTGTGGGTTTTTTTTTTTTTTTTTTTTTTTTTTCAATTGTCCATATTTTATTGATCGAAAAAACACATTCTGTTGCCAATTGTCCTGGAAGGGAGAGCGTGTGTTCTACAATTTTCAAAATATTTTCATAAGGAATATTATTCTGTTTAAAATGAAGGTATAACTCCCATCATTTTTTTTTTTTTTTTTTTTGTGTGTGTGTTTGTGTGTGTGTGTTTCCACATTTGCAGACAACCAACATTTAGTTTTTTCATCAGTAACGTATCTTTTTACCAATGACACCTCATAAAAAAAAAATCATTTTCGATAATACTATTTTTCGCAAAATGGTTACTAATATATTAAAAAGATTTTTCCACATATTCCCATAAAATCTCCTTTTTTTAATATCACCCAATGAAAGTTTTTAATATCCTCGAATTGAACTGTCCGTTCTTCAAGGTATTCCAAGCAACTATTATAAAAATTCCTGACTTCTTTCAGAAAATCAGGTCGTTTAAAATGGCACCTTGTTCTTCCAACCTGTGATGTCCTTTCAAATAACTAAAGAAACGTAATTGTTATCAATTCGTTCTCGCAATTTTGTGTTTAAATTATTGATTTCATTTGACACATCCGTAATTGAAATTTTGTCCCTTCAATAATTTTCACAGCATTGTGAAATAATGTAGCTTTTTTGTGGATGAACTGAAGATAAATTTGTGATGTCTTATTTTCAAAAAACAGCTGCAATATTCTTGAACATTTATCTTGTAATAAAAAGTATGATTTTAATGGTTCGTATATTTTAAAAATATTTTCTACAGCTGGTAGAGCTAGCCATCGTGTTTTGCTGCAATCAATAATTCTTTCCTATTCGATTTCTGTGCTTTCCCAAAAATCCTTCAAATTTTCGACACGCACAGTATATAAAAATACGAATAAATTTTTGAAATAATATTTTCATCATCCACTGGAAGTAAGTCAGATGCTGTTTGAATAGTATTGTGTAGAATGTGCGTTGCACAAGCTACTCCAATAATTTTTTGGTTCAAACGTTCGTTAAGTTTCGTAAAAAAGTTATTGATGCCTCTTCTAGCTTTTCCACCAAAATTTGCGTTACTGTCAACAATAAAATTATTGCTTTTATTGTTCAAATTATTCTTTTTTAAAATAGTACTTATTGAATCAAAAATTATTTATGAAGTTTCGCCTGGCAGCCGCCCAGACGGTATAGTGGTTAGAGGAGTCTGAGTGCGATACCGAAGGGCCTGGGTTCGAATCCCGGAGAGGAAACGGTTGTAACTATCTGTTCCTTCATAAGAGGCAATGATGGCCCACCTATTAGGTGTCTCCATAATAAAAAGACCACCACATCTGGCCTTAGTATAGATTAATGGACTCTCTTACAAAACTGTAACAGTTCACAATCTGCCAATGGAAAAAAAAGTTTCACCGGCATTGAAACAAAGTCTCACATTCTAATTTTAATTCCTGTTTCTGGATCAAAAAGTCTGACAATTGTGGAAAATAATTTTAAATCTTTGTGGTTGGAAGCATCATAATATGTGACAATAATAATAATAATAATAATAATAATAATGTGCATTTATCTAATTCTTTCTGCAATTATGAAAACGAATATGGTGAAAAAACATTACAAATGGTTGTTTGGTTTTTGTCCTTGCACGTGCAATTTTTTTGTCGTGCAATGTTTTGATCATTTGCGACGTACAATCAATTGATCTGAAACTTTGACTGTGGTTTATGGTGTGGAAAGCAAATAGCCCTTCAGCTAATGCTAGCTGTTCCTCCGTTAACAATACATATTCCTTGACGAGACGTAACGACAATGATCGAACACCAGCGAGTAAATCTAATTCGTTACATCGCCTAATTTAGTTTACTCTGCATGCATTTTATGTGCTTTTTTATTTCTTTATATTCACTGTAATAATTAATAAATAATAGGTAATATATTTTTAAGTACATTTAAAATAAGAAATGCAGTTGTTTTCTAAAAAGCGGGACATTTTTAAAAATCGGCGAGACGCGGGACAGTCCTCCAAAAAGCGGGACTGTCCCGCCGAAATCGGAACGCGTGGTCACTTTACGTTTGATGCATTTCGAGAATGTGCATATAGATAACTCTATATCTTAGTAAAGTGTAAATGAATTATTCACAAAACATTATTTTGGTTTCCACACTTTTCTTCGTGCCATTGTTATTAGGAATGAAAAATAACAATTTTTTCCCTTGCTTGAATTATTGTTAAAACGTCCTTCAAAGGGAATGATACGTCACGCAATATAGTTGCATAAAAAGAATGATCTAAGAAGCACTTAAAGCATGGCCCAAGCAATACATTTTTTTTCTCATTTAAGTTCTTATTAACCCTAAATATTATATGAAGTCTACTAATTTTTATTTTTATATGGAAGAGAAACACGACAAAGTATAATGTAAAATTATTGCCCCCCTACAAACTCATAGATTGGGGTAGATTTCAAATTTTCGATTTCGTAGCGGTCTTGTTTCTTCAAGGGTGAGAGGAATTCTGCCAACCATTTTTTGGTCTTGAAGAAAAAGGATCCATGTCAGTTTGCTGCCCTGAAAATTGATTACAGACATTGTCCCTGAGCATGCGATGCATACTTAAAAATTTAAAACTGGGGGAAAAGGATACTTCTAACTCATTCATACCGTAAAATCCTTATTAGTTGCAGTTAATTTATAGTTATGCAGTGAATCGTCGATTTTCGCTCCTCAAAATCAAAATGGAAGGTGCTGCGCGCTACGCTGCCCTGTTTCTTTCTGCCCATCCCCCTACAATAAGAGGCCAGTGCATGCTAACGAACCGCATCATCTGATAAAACACGGGTAAAGGGGTCTTCTCCCGTCCCTCTCCCAATGTTCAAGAGTGGGGGACTTGCATACTGTCGAGTTATAACTACAAGGAAAGAATATGTATTATTTACCTGAATTTAACCCAATTTAATATTATTTCTTAGTACACTACACAGTAAAGCTCATAGTGCAGGGAATGTCCAAAACCCACGTTGTGATATCCAACTGAGAATAGTCTAATATGGGGGTATGGTCCCTCTCATAGCTAGACAGGTGGTACAGCGTGATGGCATACTGGACAGGTGGCAGTTGAGGTGTCCCTGTGCTAATCAATCCCGCTTCTACAACAAGGCAGTTTTCTACTCGGGATTGATTCTCAGAGGAGGATGGCGAGGTGAAATTGTCCTTCCAAGACTGCCCCAGACATGCTATATAGGGTTACGGTCCGAGAGCTAGTTAGCTAATCCATGCTACGAATATCCTCACTTTCCACATAATCGTCAACTAGCTGAGCCTTATGTGCATGAGCGTTGTCGCCCATTAACAGGAACTCAGGACCACCTGCACCCTTGCAAAGTCGAAAACAGGGCTCTAAGATATCTTCTCTATATCTCCTAGCAGTCAGAGAGCCTTTGTCAAACACATGCCGTCCAATATAATGTCTGCCAAAACCATTACAGCTCCACCACTGTAATGATCCTCTTCTTTGATGAGGGAGGGATGGTATCATTTTCCAGGCTCGCTCCAGATAGTCTGGATGAATCTGGATTCCTCTGTGAAAAGCATGGTAGTCCACTGAAGTCTTGTCCAAGATGCATATTATCTGCACCATGCAAAACATGCTGTCTTGTGCAGTGCAAAAAGCAGAACGCAAACGCCAGCTCTTCTGGCACATAGCCCTATCTCGTGAAGCCTTCGAACAACTATAGAAAATTCGGATTCTAGTGACAGCATATAACTCACTGTGAGCTGTGAAGCAGTCCTGTGTCATCAAGCTGAAATTGCCAAATACTTAAATCGTCGTTATGGATCTCGGCCGACCTTGTCCTGATCTTGATACGGATCCTGTATCCTGAAACTCTTTCCACAAATTGCGGAAGACAGTTGGTGCTACACTGAGCTCTGTATTCACCTGCGCTTTTTATGAATGGGCTGACCCCCCCCCCCAAAGTCTACCGACAATTTTCCATCTCATTTTGCCATCCATACGTTTGTGGCTATTCATTTTAATGATGCGTTATAAAATTTACACAACTCTTGTGAGAAACAAGGTGAATATCGTGAAAGTACGAACAGACAAATCGCCGAAAATCCTTCATGCACTTTTACCTCCTGCATAATCAAAGCTCCACAGACATGCACGTGTTCGCTTATGTATTCGACTCTGAATCTTGTATAATTCTTCAGCAGCATAATTAGTACACTCAGTTCAATACTTTTCGTAAAAATAGACATAGTTTACAAATTCTCTTAATTTTGCATGCAAATGTACGTAATGCAATTTTGAATTTTTAAAATTAATTATTACTATTTTTTTTTTCTTTGATTTTGTTCTTTTCAGCTTCTTGACAAAGGCAGAATAAATGCTTAGACTTTGTATGAAGTAATTTAGTAACTTCATTGCGCTATTAGATCTATTTTAAGACACCAGAAATCTCGGTTTTATATTAAGCTTACAGCTTTCCACACGTGCGCGATCTATCTAGAAGAGATCTTATTTTAAATCAGCCCATAAAAATACTTGTAAAGCTTTATAAAGCTTCAAAAATAAAAGTGTTTTAAATCAACTGATAAGTTTTAAAAAATTTATCGAAAAGCAAAAGATGCCAATTATAAAATTACATAAAATTGCTTGATCTAAATGAGAAAAGAAAAATAAACAGAGCTGTCCGTAGATATTTCCTATTATTCAAAATGATTTATACAAAAATTGTTCAAAATGGAATGTGGAAGGTCTTGTTTTTATAATAAGCTAGAATGTGTGAGCTTTCTAAATAAGGAGGAATTTTCTTCCTCAAATCTAATTTTCCTAAACTTTTGAAAAGTGGACCCTAAATTCTAACAATTTTAGCTAATTCAAAAATGTTGTTAAGATATCAAGATCCATCTTTCCAAACCGACGAGTTTTAAACTTTTATCTTGTGGATTTCATTTTTATACAGTATGGAATATTCAAGAGACAAATAATGCAGCCACCTTTAAAATCTATACACTCTATTATATTTTAATATAATTTTTAACAAACTTGGTTTTAAGCAGCATGCCCTTTGCGGAAATTCAGAATACACCCTTGAAATCAATATAATTTGATTTAGAATCTAGATCAATCTAAATTTTTTGGGTTAATTTTACATAAAAGTCAGCAACTGAAACTCATAATTTGGTACCAATCACAGTGTGTATAGTTAACAGCAGAATACACATTTTAAACATTTTTGGAGTTATTTTTTTTTATTTACCTTTGAAGAAATTTTATCTGTTTGATTTTAGGCATGTTCAAACTTTTGGAATTATTTTCTGATTTATCTTTATCTAGATTTTATCTGCATGATTGGATCTTCTGCATTTTGGATTAAATTTTTAGGAGAAAAAGTTACTTGGTCCTACTTTCATTAAAATTACATTATGATTTCCTGAATTTACTTTTTCAAGAACTTTCAGCTACTCTCCTTACTTCCTTATTCACATTTACAAAACAAGAAGATTACCTTTTATAAATATACCAAAAAGTATGCCTATAACAAAACAAAAAATATAATATTTCAAATAATGCATCCCATTATTTGCATAATTTACATAGTCAGTGCTAACTGGCATGAAACTTTATATAAATATAACATTATTAATTACATTCACCTGCACTTTTAAATTTCATCACAGCATTTGATAAAAAATAAAGGTACCTCAAAAGGGTCTTCCTCTTGTTCTAACTGGTGCATAAGTCTCTGTTCAATTTCATCAATAACATCCAATGACGTTATTTGGTCTATACTCTCATCCAGTTCTCTACAATAGTCATCATCTTCAGATCCTTTGATAACATATTTACATTCATCATCCTTATCTGGGCTATAATTTAAAGCTTCATTCAATAACTCATTTTCAAAATATTCTGAATTATTTGATTGGATCTGGTCAGACAGAGGTACTTCATTTATATCATTCTGAGTCCAAGAGTTTTCAGGATTTGTTACATTTTCTGCATTTTGGTCCATTTGCACTTCTAAAATATTCATCTGCTCAGTTGAATCTTCACCATTTGACTCATCATTTGGAAGGGGAGAAAAATTTGATGGAGCAGTCTCGATAACAGTTTCTGTGTCAGGTGTTTCTGATGATGTAGTTGTACTGGCTGATATCTAAAAATGGATAAGCTATTAACTATATTTCATATAATAAACAGATATAAATTGGAAAATGTTTTAACTTCAGTTCAAAACTTAATTCATTTACTTAATGCATTAAAAAATGTTAACATATAAGAAAGAAATAGATCTCTATGATTTACATAACTTTACTTACCACATCATCTTCATCAATTTTCTCTAATGGTAAGCACAATGGTGAACTCATATTTTCTGTACCATCTGAGTTACCTAAAATAGCTGTGTTTCTGTTTTCTTCATATAGCTGATCAGTTGTTTCGCTGCTATCACACTCTGCAGTATTACATACATCATAACAGGCACTTGAATACAATAAATCATCATCCAGTTGTGAATCTCCCACAGCAAAATGACATGGAGTATCAGCACAGTCAACTATTTCAGATTCCAAAATCGTTATCTCTTTCACTGAATTTTGTGAATCACTTGTGAATGGTATATTCAAAATTTCCAAATTATGCTCGTTTTTTACAGATGGCTCTGAAATAACACCAGTTATTAAGTTTGATTGCTCATACAATGACTCAGAAGCAAAATATGTCACATCAGAGTTACCATAAGACAAATCACCAAAACCCTCATAAGTAAGATTATTTTCAGGAACGGGAGCTGAATTAATATTACATTCTTTATTTTCAGCCACAGAAATATTTTCAGTTACTTTTTCAGGAACTTCGCTTTCACAAAAATTAAAATTATGACTTGGAAGAATCTGAATTTTGCCATCAGAATTAAAATGTACAGAATCCTGAGTTATAATTTTATTTCTATCTTCAAAGCTAGAAACAGCAGCAAATGTTTGTTCATTCTGTAATATGGCATCATGTTTCCCATTTTTATTCAGAATATTACTATTAATTTCAGTTTCTAATTTTGAACTTATTACAAAACTTTCATTTATATTTTCATTCGAGGGAAATTCCTGAAATGAGGTATGATCACATCCTTTAAATGATTCAAATCCATGATTTTCTTGTATATGCAAACTATTGTTTGTAGATGATGAATTATTCTCTTCACTAGTCACTTCACTTTTAAGCTGTTCATTGAGAAATGCCCTATGTTTTAGTTTCGGTTTTACAGGAATTGGTGGAGGTCGACCTTTCTTCGCAATACCATTTTCTTGAATGAAAGGTTGGGTTTGTGTTAAGTCAGCAGAAAGACGTTTTTCAGAAGAATTTTCAGTTTGCAAACTATTAGCTGTCTGAGTTACACACGATGATCTACGGTTTATAATAACGGAGTTTTCAGTTTTTCCATTTTCAAAAGCTGATCTTCTTCTTAAAACTAGTGACTCACGTTTGATTTCATCAGGTTTTGCAGAAACTGCCTTTGGATCTTCGACAGAAGTGTGCTTATTATTAGCAGTGCTAAACAAAGCAAGCTTTTCTGCAAATGATGAAACTTTGGTTGAATGTTTGGTCTTCATTTCACTACTTTGGTTAACTGAAAAGGAAAAAACTTTGCTTTTTTAGGACAGAAAAACAAAAACAGTATAGTCTCAAAATTACATCTAAATATATTAGTTTCAAAAATATATAATAGAAAGTGAAATTTTGAAAAATGTCTCATTAAAATAATTAATTAATAAACAATAATTATTAAAAAATTAAATACAGTCATAATCCGGACTCGTCGGGACTTCGGCGATTCCGGATTATCGGTTTTTCCGGATTATAGATCATCAGTGTAAATCTGGTAAGATGGCATGCAGAAATTATAAAATTAAAAATATGAAACCGTAATTTATGAAAATTTATGAAAAAGCAATTATGATCTAAAGGGTATGAAAATTTACAAAAAATAAAGCTTTATATTTATTTTTTTACTTTATTACACATTTCTTTCAAGGCGTGCATGCGTAAAGCATACATTACGCATAGTCGAAATTAGAAAACAGAAAACTATTTGATGTGTATTCGTGATATTTATAATGACGAGGAATTTCATTTAAATCATATCAAAGACGGAGTACATTGAGATGAAATACTACATTTAGTAAGGAATTATAAGCCCAATAAAATAAAAACATCTGCCCTGAAGATAAGGATAGTGCTGACAGATCCGCGCTGTGTCGTCCCCCCCCCCCACACAGAGCAGCGTGAAATTGATAAACAGATTTCGGAATGGTTAGAGAAACAAAGGATATGCCTTTATCCATTTTTTGCAGCAATTCCACTTTTTGTTTGATGGACATTGGAACATGCTTTCGCTTTGTAGATCCTTTGGTAGCTCCAGAATCGGAAATTCTTTTTGACATAATCGAAAGTTCAAGCTTACTTTTATAATATTGCTCTAACAGTCTGCAAAAAATAATAAGCCGGATCCAATTAGAAGGTTAAGGAACAACGCAATCTGCAACATTAACTGAAATAGATAATTAGATAATTTTAGCTTAGCTTATACCGTCCGTTATACATTAAACGCGCACATGTAAACGTATTATGCGCATGCACACACGCATATGTGCATGCAAAAAGGTATTACGCGCATGTGTAAATGCCTATGCGCATGCATGAACGCGTTTTGCGTTTGAAGGTATTATGCGTTGACGCATCCGCAGAAAGTTTGTAGCTTTGAGGTCCGGATTATAGATCATTTCGGATTATGGACGCCCGGATTAAAGACTTTTGACTATAATATAAAATCTCATTAAAATAATTAATAAACAATAACCAAGAGCTGAAAACATGAAAGGAACTAAATCATGATTCAAATCATATAATCTGCTTACAATATTTAATTGCTCATAAAATCATTCCCCAAAAATATTAAAACTAGACATTAATACAAGATGTAACTGTTTAGTTTTTCATATTGCCTTGAATGATAAAGGTGAATACCTTTTTTAGTTGGTCTGCATATGACTACATCAAGAATTCCTGTGTATATAGCTTGTTTGATAGAAAAAATAAGAGAAGCATGGCTATAACCAGCAGTAAGTTCTCCATTTAGTAATATTATTTTATCTCCCTCTTTTAGGCCAGTAACATCAGCAGGACCACCTAAAAATAAGGTTATAAAATTTATCAAGAGTTTTTTAACAGTCACTTATGTGCATATATTATTCATTACAGATTCAGTCTCATTTTAGATTGTAATGGAGTTATTTGTTAAAAAAATGATAATGTTTTAAAAGCGGTAAAAACATTTCTTGGAGAAAGTACATATATTGCATTTCTTCAATAGTTAGCTACAAAAGAAGGGGGTATAATTTTTTTACTTACAATATTTTGCAAACTTGTTGTTTTATTAAAACAAAAAAATTAGGAAGTTTAGTTGCCTAGAATGCAGTGTCTTTGTGGAAGAGTTTTTGAAGAACCAGCTTGAATTTATTTTACTAGTGAAGGAAAGCCAAAAAAGTACCCACGAAAGCTGCATAATCTGTTGTTGGAAATCAAACCGAGGGCGAAAGAACCAGTACCATTTCATGGCTTTAGCCTTTAGACAACTGGTGAGCTTTGGTACATAATTAATAAACTAAAAAAGATTCTTTACCATAAAATTATCAAATATATCACTAATCTATCACTAATACACTATGAAATGTATTCTAAGATCGAAAAACTAGAAATAAATTTTTAAAATCTAAATAGCAATAAAAAAATAGCTCAAAAACCAATCTGAAAGATTTAAATGCAAAAAATTTGAAAGGTGAATAATGATGAAGAAATGAATATGTTGCAACAATTCAGATGTATTCGAACAAGATTTAAGTAAACTGCAAATAGTATTTATAAAAAACTGCAGAATAGTAATTACTAAAACAAATGCACACACAGCTGTTTCTCAGAGAAAACTTTTTAATCCCATCAATTCATATAATACTCCAAACCTGTACTTGCATCATTTTTAAGTTTTTGCTCACATTAAGTCAGATAAACCCTTAGTCAAAATTTTAACTTTTTGTAATAAATTATGCGAATGTGTAACTATTAATTTTAAGACAAAATGCTTTAGTACACATTTCAAGAGAATACCAGCACTCACTTCTCTAAATTAGACTGTAACCTAATCATGCTGCAGAATTCAAGGCATAAGTGATGCCAAATGCTGTCTTTTGAAAAATGAAATTGTTATTTGATTTGATGTGATCTAACTATAATCATTCTTTTCTTCACTTACTAAAAATAAAGCGAAAAAGAAAAAAAATTGATCAGAAAATATAAACCTCAATCAGTCTAGTGAAAATATAAAATTACTAATTTCTATACATCTCTACATAAAAAATAAAATGCTTGCATAAAAGTTAAATTGAGAGAATTTCTAATAAATGAGAATTTCTAATAAATAAACATCACTTATGTAAATGGCAGGGGAAGGAGGCAATTATTATAACAACTTTTTCATTACATTTCCCAGAATATTTAGCTGGAAAAGTATATTTTATTTGCTATATTAAAACTGCACATAAGTTTACCTTTAGTCACATGGTCAAGGTATGGAGGACAAGCTTGATCTTTTCCACCTTTTAATGTAAAACCAAATCCTTTGTTATCTCCTTGTTTTATACAAATTTTAAATGAAAATTCTTCTTCATCAGCATTCTAAACAGAAAATATTAATCAGGAAATTTCAGGAAAGGAATAAAATGTAAGTAAAATACTAACTAAAATCAAAACATTTACAATAAAAACTTACAAACAATAACAGCAAACATGGAAAATGAATCAGGATTTTCTAAAAATGCATGAAGGTAAAAGGAATAGATTATTATTTTTTTAAAAAACTAACGTAGCTTGAATAAGAAGCTTCAGAACTTGATATTACAACATTATTCAGAACCACATAACAAAGGTAATTGAGTATTGTTCTTTAATCCTTTTAGCTAAATGCTAAAAAAATATTGCATGACGAAAATTTCTCCTGGTACTGCTACTCAATTTCATTTTGAAGAAATGCCACAGCTCATCTCATTTGGGGTTTTGGGGCGCTTCTGCTGGAAGTGAAATTCCTGACAAAAATTGATAATTGTAACAGCCAGTGAGTTCTGAGTGAATTTAACTATTGATTATTACTGATATTCATTTGGTGTTGCATTACAATCAAGAATGTGTTTTTACTAATGAACATTTAATATTTAATAAGCCTTTTTCAGAGCTTCAAAAATCAACTCTGCTTTCACACGGAATCAAATTGAAGGTCTTCAAGGTATTAGCTGGGTGTGATCACTGCTGGCAAGTGATGGGGGACATGGGCACTGTGCCTCTACCATACTGGTTAATCAGTACAGCCCCAGATGTCAAGAGGGGAGCCACACTGGCACCTCGCTGAATTAGTATGCATTGATTATATATATAAATACAGTGTCTTATATGTCATTCAAAATACATATTACATGATTTCCTATGGTGACCTTGATAACAAATTATAATTACACTGACAAATTATTGTTACATTCAATAATACTTTGACAATATATGACTTGATTAAAATATAATTTGAACAGTCACTATGTGACTTGATTAAAATATGCATGGAAATATGAACACTATATATTCAGATGCATGTGATATAACAATGATTATATATATTACATATATATGCAATAGCTACTTAATATATAATATCATGCAGTGCAGGATTAGCACACAAAGAATACAGTACTCATTGCAAAATGTTATGATCATAGTGATTTGGCTTGGATATATCACTGCCTACAAAGACAGAGGGGAGAAATGCTTTTAATTCCTTAAAATACATTGAGATTCTTGAGTCTTGACAGTAAAATATTGGTTAAAACTGTGACCAAGTAAATACTAAATAAATTCTTTTACGGCTTACTTCAGTAGTTTCCAAAGTGTGAATTAGGACTCTGCCATGGGTAAGAATAAACTTTTTCATGAACTACAGAAAGTCTGAAGTCCTCTTTGTCTTTGGATAACTATATAATAGTTATCCATTCTTAATTATTAGTTCAAAAATTTCAGTTAATTATTTATAGTTACATGTCATATTTAGAGTTACGATTTTAAGGTCCTTCTAAAAAGATCTCAAAGCTCATAGCCCCTAGGACTTTGAAAATTTGCTGGTGAATAGCACATGACTCACACTGGTGTACAAATGTAGTAGCGACATAAAATTCTACCGTATACCACTAGAATCGTGGTTTGAAGTAAAAATCCTGAAGTTTTAAGATCTAGGAATCTGAAATTTTGCATACGACTCATGATCCACCTCAGTATAGCAAGTTTTGATATAAAATAATTATTTCTATGAATTTTCAACAATTGGAATCATGTGCTTTGCATCTTTTACTGAAATTTTGGGCTTTTATCAGGTATTATGCCATAGAGTATATATTTATTAGTTTGTAGAGACATTAGGTTAATTGGAAAAGCCGGAGAGCTGAAAAATTAGCAACGCTTTCGCCGGGAATCGAACCACGGACTTCTGGAATACCGGCTCAGTGTGCAGAACCACTGTACTATGAAGGCTCACTAGGAAGGTAGGACAAATACCTTATAAGTTTATTAATACATTATTTTCTTCATGAAAATTTGTTTCTCTCCTTATATGTGTGAAAATGTATGCATGCGGAACATGATGGTAAGGAATTTGGAAACATTGATCTACATGTTAAGTAATGAAGTGGAAGACATTATTTTTATAACACATCTTTTTTATAAATGATAATGCTATTTTTTTCTAAATTTCCCATTGAAATCCCTATTATTTTATAAGAATTAATAAAAACTGATAATGCTAATAAATATCACACCTTAATATTTGTTTCTTGTATCAATATAGTTTTACACTTTTCGGTTTCCAGGGCTTCTGACAAATCATTGTTTATTTTGTAGTTGCCTTTTTCTAAGTCATTGCAGCCATCTTGACTCAAATCAGATGCACTATCTACAAGATCAGTCCGATTGTTACCATCACATAAGCTGTTGAGTTCAGAATCTATGTTGACAGAATGTCGACAGTAGGAATTGTCCTCCTCCGATGAAACAGTTTCTGTATCACCAGCATGCCCTTCAATATCTGAAGGTTCTGCAGAGGAAATATTATCAGCAATAGACAAATCTCTTTTAGAAAGGCAATGTTGAAAAAGTTCATTTTGTGAAAGTGATTGATTATTGTCAAGGACATTGTTCAAAAGCTCCTTCTTCAACCAAGAGTGTGGTTTTGCAGGAACTTTGGGAGGATTTTTATCAGAAACCTGGAAACAAACACAGCTCATATTACTACCACTTTACAAAAGTAATTACAGATTAACAAACAGTAAAACTTGAGTAATTTTAGTTTTCTTAAAATTAAGTATAAAGGAATAAAACTGAGCTGGCCTAGATATAAATGGAATTAAAGTTTTTTTTTTTTTTTTCCCCAGAAATAATATGAGATCCCTAATAGTGCCTCAAACTTAGATAAGGCTAAGTTGGTCTGCATTCCCTACTCTTGCTAATTTAAAAAAAGTTTGCCAAAGAAAGACACTTAAATCCTTTAACAGCTGTTATCAAAAACACTTGTCTTAAGGTGTTATTTTCTGATAAAGATAGCTTCCAGTTACTGGATTAGTTTTCAATTCTAATTACTTTTAAGGTAGTTTTCAATTTACTTGTATATTTAAGTAGTTTAATAAATTCATTTGGTTACATAAATTAAATCAACATTCAAAACATGAACAACACATTTCAAAACAGAAAAAAAATGTTTTCATTTATGTTACTATTGTTTTTTATAGGAGTCAATGGGAAACAGAAGATTAACAACTGTACACTAATGTATTTTTACGATTTAACGATTTATTTTTAATGGATGATTTTATAGTATTTATGTATTATAGTTGTGCCCAATTAAATTGATAACTATTGTGAACAAAAAGAGTCCGAAACATCATCTACTATCACTATTGTTATCCCACAAAATTATAATTTTTTTTTACATTACCACTAAAATTTCACTTGATACTGAAAGTTTATGACTGTAATATTCTCACTGCTCTGCAGAAAACAAATTTAAACTTTTTTTCTGACAAGATCCGTTAAATCCACAACTCAGTTAATTGGGTGGTTGAAACATTTTTTCTTCTCCTTGCTGTAAAACATGAATTTCACTATATAACCCTTTATTACAAAGACTACTGTAATTATTTTAAACTTCCCGAGCTAGTTATGAATAAAAATTGAGTAATACAGAAAATATTTTGCCCACAAATGCAAAAGAATGCAATCAATATCTAAGATATATAAAGCAAAGGTATGTGGCGGCCTCGATAGCCATTCAGCACTTGCATCATGGAACAGGTCCAAAGTGCATTTTTACTCTGTGGTATGATGTTTGGTTTTTATGCAGCAGGGCTTGCGTTCGACCTTTAAAGTCATTTATCACCTTCAGGATAATGAGACAGTAAATGGTACTGCAATTCTCATCTGTACTAATAGATGGTATTACAAGACAGAGGCAGCTAAGTTAGTTAATGCCGAGGTCAGCTACAAGTGTAATTAATTATGTATTATATTATGAAAAACAGACTTTGCAACAAGCTTAATGGATTTCATGTTTTTAAAAATGGAACTTTTAACAGAATTATTTCCTAAAATGGAACTTAATTATTAGACATACATTAAGCTGAAGATATAAAAATATGAAAAATGACTGAAATCGTAAAATAGCATATTCATGTAAACTATTTCCAGTGTTATATTTTATCCTGTATTTATTGTTCATTTACTCTCACTGTTTTGTTTTAATAATGATTGTAAACAAGGTCTAATGAATGTCTGCTGTGTGAAAATTTTACATCTGAACTTACATATGAATGCTGTGTGTGAATATGTGTATAAGCTTAATTATGAATTACTTAATAAATTAGTAAACATAGCATGCGTGATTAAGAAATGCTTATATTTTAGGAGTATGATCATATATCACATTTTAAAAATGAAATGATAAAGGTGAATGAAGTTTTTAATAACTATTTAAAAAACCCAGATATTTACTTTTTCTGACTTCTGTATATCACTATCAACACTTTCTGCTTCGGATGTCATCCCTTCGCTAGTGTCAGATCGCAGAATAGAATTTTGGCAATCAATTGTTTCATCTGGCTCTGGTGTGCCACCTAATCCACTATCATCACCTTGCCCAATGTAAAAATCTAAATTATAATTACGAGATGAGGACCTAAATAAGAAAAAGCAATTTAGCACATATTTTTCAAGTTAAACAGAGGGTAAAGTACTTAAAAATTTCTAGTTCTAACAAAGTTTTTTTTAATTGTTTGTGTTCTTAAATTATAGTGGAAAGCGAGAAAACTTATGAAAAAAACCCGTAAAAAATAATTTTAATATTCTTATAATACTCAGGTCTCATTGTAAGCTGCAGTTTATTAAGAATAAGTTTCTGCAGTTAATTAAAATAAATTACATATTTCACAATATAATTTTAAAAATACCTTTTTTCAACAATTTCTGAGAACTTCTTGATTTTTTTCTGCTGCAAAAGCAATTGCTCTTGTCTTAGCTGTTCCTCAGCTTCTATCTGTCGCATTTCTTCAGCTCGCTGAATAACTTTTTCTGAAATCTTTCGCCTTCGTGATTTCCAGTTGTCCAAGTTCTGAAAAGCAAAATAAGTTAATATGCATGGGAAACATATACAGTACAAAATCTGATATCTGAACGTCCTCCGGAATGGTCTAAAATACGGATCTTAAAGCCACCAACAAAAATTTTTTTAGGATTTTTTTTTAATGCTTTAAGCATACGCATTTGATTGTTTTCCCCGTAAGAAAGCATGTGGAGAATTCCGATTCTTAATTTCACTTCGGCACTAAATAAAATACCTCGTTATTAAGGTTAACCAAATTTAAAAATCGCCATGGTATAAGGCAATTAAGAATTTCAGGTGAAACAATTATGATGAACTATTTGCAGATAAATTCATTGAACTCCTTAATAGTTAAAAGTTATCTCCAGAACAAATTTACAACACTGATGAAACTGGTCTTTTCTGGCAATAATGTACCGCAAAATACCTTGGCAACTTTTATAGAAAGGCTCGAACTCGTGTCGAAGATTCCAAAGCGAGATTAACAATTTTTGCATGCGCAGATGCTGCAGGAATGCACAAGTGTAAACTTTTCGTAATTGGAAAAAATACAGGACATCAAGAATTTAAAGGAGTAAAGTGTTTCCCGTCATATATCATGCAAATAAAAGAACATGGATGACACAAGTGTTAATAAATGGTTGGTTTGAAAATCATTTCATACCCAAGGCTTGGAAGAATTCGGTTTGTTTACGTAGGCCCCGGTCGGCAAAAATTGGTTGATGACTCAAAAATTGCATAATTGTAGACAACTCTTTGGCTCATATTTCACTTAAAATTTTAGGGAAAGATAATGTATCCGTATTATACTTTCCACCAAACTGTACGTCCAATCATTCAGCCTATGGATATCGGAATAGGGCGCGCACTAAAAATGCAAATATAAAACTGAATTTTTAAAACCCATGTTAAACTTCTTGAATAATAGTACGACTATTCAAGAATTTTTTTTATTATTTTAGTGAAAATCTGCTTTGTGAAGCATCGCAAGATCGTGGGAGGATCGTCTCCATATACTTTAAAAAACTGCTTAGCATAATTTATGGCTAGCATTTCATCTTGAGGATAAAAAAGATGATAGCTGCGAATGTGAAGGTTTTCGGATAACGCAAACCAAAGGTTAAAATTTCCAATTAATGGATTTTTTAATGAAATATAGAGAAGCGGTAGTAAATGAAGATGATATAACAGAAGTTTTTCATTGCGATAATAATGCTCCAATTATAAATCAATTAACGGACGGCGAAATGTGTGGTACGGTTCTAGATCCAGGAAATACTGCTGAAAGTGACAGTGAGGTTATTTGGAAACGGAAGAATTTCGATTGACGAGTTAGTCGGAGTTCTTGATACAACAACTACAGGACAGCGGAACTTCGTAACTGAACAAGAAATTATGTCTATCTATAGAATTGAAGAGAAAGTATAAGCACCAAAAACGAAGTAAATTAAACCAATTTACATTTATAGAAATGTTTAATAAAGTAAATAAATAAATATTAAGTTTCTTTTTTTGTAAATTTTGATACCCTTTAGATCATAAATGCTTTATTATTTCATAAATCACAATTTCATATATTTAATTTTATAATTTCTACGTGCCATCTTACTAGATTTAAACTGATGATCTAATATTGGAAAAATCCCAAATCCGGAGTCGCCGAAGCCCCAACGAGTCCGGATCTCGGACTTTGTACTGTATATGGAGTACTGCAGGTACACCTCGCAGGGGGGGAAGAGGAAGGGACAGTTCTGTATCTCCTGTTCTACTGAGCCGATTGACGAAATTTAACTTGTATTTTCATGTCTCGAAAGCGCGACTTTGGATATATCCTACATAGCAATTTATACATAGCAATTTTACATATACATAGCAATTTTTCTAACATAGCTATTTTGACATAAAATCGGACTTTTTTTTAAAAAATAACATACCTATTTTTTTCCATATTTCGATTCTACGACTCAAATTACGGCAGTGCTAAGTTTTCGTAACAATTGAGAAAGCAGTTTTAAAAAAATTAGCTCCCAAAATTTTAGCTCCTCATTGTAAATTGAGTATGGTATATATTTATTATTATCGCCTTTTTTTTATTAAACTTACTGATTTTTTTCTTTCACATTTCGAAATTACGATTCAATCCAAATAAAATTCGCAATTATTTAAATTCGTATTTTTTAGTAATTTTCCGAAAAAAAAATTTTGAATTGTCAGCTATAAAATGCTTGCCATTATCTTGAAGTCGAAGTACTTCTAGCCATACCTGCAAAAAATAAGAATTTTTTATTTAAAATTTCCGAAGACATACGTGAATTTATATAATGGCGCGTTTTACAATTTCGCATATTTGTCATAAGCGATACTAACGCCAAATATGGTTTACGCACTTTATTAAAATTATTTCTGAGAATGAACGATGCACCTTTTATTCCGCTCGTGCACAGTGAAAGGGAAAGGAAAATTGGTTACCATAAATTAAGAATTTCGCCAAGTAAATTATTCTTGGAGTCTACGATGTGTACATTACAGACAAAAATGCAGTATAATATTAGCTAATAATCCACGGAAAAACTACCGAACAAAGCTACAAAAACACATACCGATTGCCATTCTTCTTCTCCTTCTTTGAGAGCTTCCCTTGTTATTTTAACTTCTTTGGTTAATTTTATTTGTTGTTCAGCCTAAAAAACAAAAATAATATTGAAAAGAATTACGGTAGAAACAAACACACACACAAAGATATATACATATATTCATTAAGTTCAAATTTAATCTAAACAGGCAAAAGAAAAACAACAGAATAGTCAATAAAGCATTTTGAGCAAATGAATGGTACTGCAAACAGAATTTTCGAAAAATAAAATTAAAAATGGAGTCAATAGAATTCTTGCAAAAGAAAATATAGTGGTTATTATCTTATTATCCTCAGACGCTTCCGTTGTCAAGAGGAGGATAAGCCATTTTATGATAATACACATTTCCCTGGCAGATTTATTCTGCTTCTGTACGCATAAAATTATCCTAGGCACTGAATTAATAATATAACTAATAAGTACATCTGAAAATTAAAAACTTCTCCCCTATAAAAGAATTCTTGCCCAAATATAAAAAATACAGTACTTCTTAAATTTTAATCTATTATACTTCGGTAATAAATTAAAATTCGCGTCATATACACAATGGTAAGAAATAATTAAAACTGTGAAAACACAGCCAAAGCTATAATTACTTGCATTTCGTTGAACTTCTGGTAAAACAAAGAACCGTTTTAATCTGGAATTTTGAGAGGGGACGGAGGAATGTGTAGTGGGGGGAATCTGACTTTTGATCAAGTAATGAAAAATGAATATTAAGTAAGAAAGGTTAAAAAGGAAACAATCTTCACACTAATCGGCAGACAACAGAGACTTATAGAAAAGAAACATTGTCAATTTTTTAGTCTAAGAAAGAACAGAGATATCATATAAATTTTACAAAAACTATTCTATTTACATTTATACACTATGAAATTTCTTCTCACACATCCGTACCATCCCTCCTAAAATAAAGGTTTAAAATTGTCTTCATATCGTTAGATAAAATTTCACAGGCCGTAGACCACTCCAGCTTTTTTTAACTGTAAATTAATGAAAATCCACTGTTCAAATCATTTACCTTACTGACAGAGGGGGAACGGTAGCTTAAACACATGGACAGACGCAAGAACTTTGCTAGTCGTAATGCAATAATTTTTTTCCCGGTGTTTTTTGAGCCTCTGGAAACCTGTGCTGCATGAAGCCGATGATGGTCAAAATTATTTGCAAACAGAGGGAATTAACGTGCAACAGTGCGCTCAAACAATAAGTTCTTTGCAGATGCCACTCACAGAGAAACAAGTGCTCTGAGTTATGCTAAAAACTTTTATGAAAACCATAACATTTTAATGGGACTTCCCAGATGACTAACGAGTAAACAAATTTTTGGCGACGGAAGTAAAGATGCATCCTTGTCAAAGAACGTCTATGTCTATGTCAATACATATTCTTTGGCCTTGTGCTTCGAAAAAGAGTTGAAAGGAAAGGAAAGTGGTTTTCTTCATTAGATAAGGTAACTGTAGAAATTGATGAGAGGTTCCAGCAACTACGGAATTCTTGCTTTCTTATGTCAGCCAAACTACTGGACGCTGATGACCAGAACTTCAGTATAGAAGCACGTATTTCATGACACTGACAAAAAAGAATTCAAGCTCGAATGCGTGCGGCTACGGACTTTTGCTGCTGAGACAGGCAATAAAAATGAATTACTGAATTCAGGCCCACATGATTTATTAAAATTTATTATGCAACGTAAGCTGGAAATTACCTTGTAAGATATAATTATATTGCTATGAATTTTCCTCACAACTGCCATAAGCAGTGCCAGCTGTGCTTCTCTAACCTGAATTTAATCAATTTTTACCATCGACAGCTTTTGAATAATATTTATTATAATTTTCTACTAGCAATAATTAAATAATAATAATAATGTTTTTAGATAATAATTTATGAAAATTAGAATTCACAGTATGTTTCCGCAACTAAATTTTGTTTCCTAGTATGTAAGAATTTAAAATTTTGGAGAAAGAAAATCTCTTTGCAGCTTAACATTTTCCTCGCTCTAGAAAATTTCATCTTTATAATAATATCATATTTTGTAAGCAGGCAGGAAATTTGGCACCAGCCCCGGGCGGCCGAAACCTATGCTACATCATTGGTACGATCCTAAAGTTGTATTTCATCTTACGAAGCCTTTCAAAATAAAAGCAGAGGATTTTGTACAAAATATTTTAGCATAACGAATATGAATATAAAACTTAAATTTTCATACAGTTCTCCTAAGTCAAAAAGTCCAGGACACTTTAACGTATAAAATCCCCGGAGACACACGATGACGAATTACATCTCATTCGAATCGAAAATGAAAAATTCTCAGTCAATTAAATTGAGCAACAACAAAACAAAAGTTGAGCACTTTTGGGATTAAAAGTACTCTCTCGGGGGAAAAAGTACTCAGAATTAAAATTTGTAGCTGGCCTTATGAAAATATTAATTTAACGTATGTTTGCAAATTCTGCGTAAAGTAGGGCGCATTTTATGTTTACCTTTTTAAAGCATACAGAATATTGGAACTTCTGCTCTACGGAAATTATATAAAAATGTTAAATTTTATGTTCAAGGAATTCAGCAACTCTGTTGCAATTGTTTTCTTAAAGTTCATTATTTTATTTTGAACAACTTTGTAATCAGAAGCACGGATTTAAGATAAATATCTAAGAAAATAAAATCTGTAATCTCCTTGTTTGTGTGGGGGGAGGGGTAACACCACTTTCTGTGAGTGTACAAGAAAAAAAAGCACACATAAAAAAGGGAGAAAATATCAAACTTTAAACATAATCAAAAATGTTTTGTGCATCCACAAAACAAAATCATTCATTAATTCTTCACGTAAAATTCAACATAATTTTCTTATATGATTTCAAATGAAGAAAAAGGATGCGGAAGTATTTTTAACGATTTAAAAAAAAACTTCTTTAAAGCATTGAAATAAACAATCATAAGACAGCTTAGATATGAATTATCTTTTTAAAGAGAGAGCAAGGTGAATTATGCTTCCATCTACAGGGGGAAAATCATTTTTATACGTTTCAAATTGCTTACAATTTTTTAAAAAAAAATTGATGCTGTGGGTACAAGTGTAAAAAAATTATAATTTATTATTAACATATAAAAGTAATTTTAATAAATATATAGTGAAAAGCAAATAGATAAACAATTAAAAAAATGACACGAATTCCTCTTTTTCGACAGGGCTGAACCCCGTTTAAGAATTTTTTCGTTCCGCCGTCTTTTGTACGATTTTAATGAATTATACACTGAAGATCAGCAATAACATTTTTTAACATAAGCTACATATCAACAGTTGACAGATTCCGAATAAGATGTAAGGAATGATATTTTACACAATAGCATGCAAATATAGCATATGCAAAATTAAACCTAAATGTTTGAGGAAGAAAATCGCGTTATCTTTTGCACAGGTCTCTATCTTTCGCACAGAAAGTTTTATTATATATTTATACAGGAAACTGAAATTAATCTCGAAGCTTGAATTTTATCAATTATGCGAATTGTTTTTTTGCTTTAAATAATTATGTACGACGTCAATTTCTTTCTTTTTTACTTTTTATTTCTTGTGCAAGACAGCACATACAATGGTATCTACCTAACAAAAGATATCCCTTCATAAAGAACTTTTTAAAGCAAAATAACTCATATTTACATTAAAGATGGGGGAAATCAGGAAAACCTCCAAGCAGTCAGCCTATTTGATGGGATTTGAACCCGAGTCGAACTGCCAGTGGTCAGTGATTTTTTAACTTAATTAAATTAATTTGACTTAATAAGTTTGTAGGAAATGAAATTCGATGCATACCCCTCCTTCCGCGCTAATTAATTTCGCACCTACTTTTTCATGTTAAAGCAAAAGCAATATGCACATTAGCAATAGTAAAGGAACCAGTTTTTAAAACGCTTAACGTGCACTCTCCCAAAAAGAAAAGTTTAAAAGTACCTTGTACAGAAAATGTACGGATATGCGTACAGAAATCGTTGTTTTTTAAATTAATGGATTTAAAAACAAAGTCATTACTTAGATTTTATATCTGAATACTCGTAGAGATAGTAAAGCGAATTTTTCACTTGAAACATTAATTTAGAAGGAATCTGCATTATTTACAAATCGGGAAGATAAATAAAAGTAAAATATATCAACTAAGGCAATATTTGAATAGTTCGATTTTTAGTATCTTTGGGAAATGCCTTTATTCAATTTTGCGTCTTGTTATTTAATTTTCTTATGCTATTTAACCAAAGACTTTCCTTCCTTGCACTTTAATACACTGTTAACTTTTTCCTGTGCATATATTTAGATTATATTTATGGTGTATTTTTGCTTTTTTAGTGTCTTTCGGCTGATGCCATCGGATGATGATGATTTCGGATGATGGTTTAATGCTTTCATTTAAATTCTGAAGAAAGTTCTTCCACAGGGATTTCAATAAAAAGTACCTGATAAGTAGTGGTGCAAATGAAAAGGAATAAGTGGGGACGCATAAATGAACCAGAATCAATTAAACTATCATAGAATACATAATAATAATTAGATCATATGATCTGTTGAACACAAGTTACAGATTTCCATTTATTCGTTAACCATATCGTTCAGCAATTTTTATACTGTTAAAAAATCTTTTCGGTTTAACTAGAACTCAGAAATATTCAGCCAAACTAACATTTTTGAGGAGCAAAACGGGACCATAATTTTAATAAACGCGATATCAAATTATACCCTCTCAATAAATTCAGTCATGTGACTAGAAAAGTGCAATTCACATTGGCTTAAAGTGCATTCATTCATTAATCACAAATATATAATAACGAACCTTTTTGTACAGTGGAGACTGTACCTTTACGAACTGCAATGGATTGTGTGATGGCAGTTTGGGTGCTTTTCCGACAGTCCTCGTTGGAATGTATTCTCCGGTGTTTGAATCTGCGCTTCGATGATTCGCAACACTGCCACATCCCGAACTACTACTCCCACTGCTTTCCAGGCTATCCATAGAAGCGGAACGTATGTGTCTCTCATCACTGTAACTGCTGTCGCCGCCAGACGTCGCAGACTGCCAACTCTGAAGGGTGACATTAGGCGTTCGAGGAGCCACTGGTGGTGGTTGTCGGCTCGGCATCATATTTTGTTGAGGAGAGTTCACTATCTCGTTGTCCGTAGTCGCTCGGAAAAGCGTTGTGCTCCCCGGCATAGTACAGGCAATCTCAGATTAAACAAAGCTATGGAAGGCTTCGTTATATCTCCCGAATTTCCATCTTCTGGTTGGGGTCAATCTGGACTTCTCTGAGGAAAGAAAAGAATAATGCGATTGAGAAAAAAAAAAAGGGGAAGGCATTATAAAATAGAAATACCAGTTTCTCATATATATATATATGCATATACACACACAGTAAAATCTAAATGCCCACAGAAATCTCAAAAGTTCATGAAAATGAAACAAATGGTTATATGGTTTTCACGAAAATTAATCAGAAGGAGATGAATTTTTTTTTGGCAACCAGTAAACGTTTAAGCATTTCATCGATAGGGAAAGCTGTATTATACTGGCATTAAAAATCTTAGCCAAGACTATGAAGAAAACAATGCATCCGTTTACGCGTTACAAAAGCAAATTATTCAGGCTATTTCCCAAGAGAAAAACATTTCGATGTTACTCTAAATATATTCTTGGTACAGTACAGTGACCTTTATCGATAAAATTGTACTAGGTATTTATCCTTTGTGACAGTGTAAAGGTTTAGTTAAGGCTGAACTGGATGTTTATCCTCTTGAAAAAAATAATAAACAAATAAAAATTTTTAAAAATCCCTCACACCCCATTGTACCTTTTTTTTTTATCTTATATATATTATATGCATTTCCAGGAATCAGCAATAATTCTCTTGTTTTAATCTTTTACATTTTATCTGACACAGCAGCAACTTTATTAATTCCAATTTTGACCACAATAGTACACATTTCCATTCTAAATTTCACCTCGAAGTTCCTAGGAGATAATTTCCTTTATTTTCTCTATAAATCTATTGAATTATATATATATGCATGTAAGAAAAATAAAGAATATGTAAAAGATTAACTTAGTAACATAAATTCCCTTCTGTATTCTAAAAATAGTAACTCCTATTTGCACTGCGTTATTTCGAGAAAAATCTATGTCATATGGCTCTTACGTAATTCTAATGATGTAAATGGAACTAAAACTCAAACAGCCAATAATAATTTTACAGAAATATTAACTGTCGAATCAAAATGCTTTGGAAACCAAAACTAACTCAGTCTAAATTAAGATTTCATCCTGAACATAACGCACTTGCTTTCTACGCTTTGCCTTAGCTGGACTGCAGTCTGTCTGCTCCTTCCTTTCTGCTGCGAATCTATCAAAAATGTAATTCTTTTGGAACAGGCGCGTTTAATGTGCCGACTTGTGTGTAGCCGCAACATGTGGCTGAAAATAAAACTGAAGATTTAATCTGCCTTCGCCTCCAATTTCCTACTCATTTTGGATCAACACTTCTACGCCATCAAAATTCCTGCTCCTGGTCATATATATATATATGCTGGACTCAGATCTGCAGTGTATTTATGGCGGCACTGCATATTTTCTTTTTTCGTACAAATAAAAATGTTACATAATAAATTTATTAGTATATTTTAAATTTGCAAGATTTAAAGCTCATTCCTAAAATTTGAAAAACTAAGAATACAGATTATGAGCAAAAAGGGATCTACAAGCTCGTGTTCTTTAGTCTCATCGGAAAAAAAAAAAAAAAAAGTTACTTGCGAAATACGGATATGGTAATTATTATTTTATTGCATAAAAGAGAATAATTTTTTTAAAAATGCATTTTCGAAGATATATGATGCCTTTCATTTTTAAGGAATGAAAATTTAACTGGCTATTAAGAAACCTGTTTTATTAACAATTTCTGCGGAAGTATTAATGGGCAGCATAATGATACGTACCGTTTAATCTTTTTTTCCTCCTCGAATTTATAACAGGAACAAACACTGAAATATTAACCAAACAATAAAAGTATTTTACTTAATCTTTTAAGGTAACTGAAACTAGACCCATGTGCATGAACTTTGTCACTAAGCAACCGTATTTCCGAACAGCAGTGTTTTGCCAGGGTAAACACGACTCCCATTCATGATTTCAGCTTTGAAAAGGTAGTGTTACATTACAGCCTGCATCTCTTCAAAATGATGGATTTTAGTTGAGGTGCATATTTAGTACTCTGTTAAATGTTAAGTTCTGTTATTAAATAAGTTATAACTATCATTGGACGTTCGTTAAACAGTTGAAATTCACAATGACTGAGATAATTTAGAATGGAAGAAATTTTGAAAAAAATTTGAAGTAACCACATTCGCAACTATTCGATTCTGTTGCTGAATTAGGAAACATTTTATTATTCTGTGATATGTTTTATTTGGAATACAATCCACGCAAATCCTGACGAATTATTCGTAACTGACCCACTGGCTAAAATACCAAAATCATGCATGGAATTCCTTTTCTTTTGCTCTTTATGTAATAAAAAAACCCTACAGTTCCTTACACTTGCCAATCTCTCTCAGTCATCTGACTCGTAGCTAGATGCCTGCCAGTTATCATTCAGAAATTTTGAAATGCATACACAACAATACCGTTAATCTCAAGCTCTTCCGATAAAAATCTTCATTCTTTTTATTCGTACCTCGCTGCGCTTTACCCACACATGAAAAGAGCAGGTACTGACCCATACTACCCGGAAACTGCTGAAAGCGTTTTGAAACATTGTCTAGGGTGAAGAAGCTCAGTCAATGAGTTCATGTTTTCATTGGGTATTTTTATTATTATAACTACCTAGTGTAGAGCTATTTGGAGGAGAATGTATGAATCATATTAGCATTTTCGACGCGCCCTGCAATAAGAGATTCTATAGTTCAACAGTGAGCCCAAACTTTTTGCCACAACGCTATGTATGTCAACAACTGGATTTTGAAAAAATAAATAAATAAATAAATAAATAAATAAATAAAATAAAAAAAAGCAAAATTGTACAGAATGTCATAATTTTTAATGGAATGAAGTGGTGAATTTGTGGGGGCAAACACATTACACATTTAACAGTATTTGATACCTATAGACCATCTCTATTAAAAAAATCAAAATAGTTACAAAAATATACCTGAAGCATGCAGCTTATTTATTCATTTATATCTGAAAGCTCTAGTGTTTTGCTAGCATGTCTAGGAGCTCTTCTTGTGTAATATTATTCACATTTCATATAGGTTCAGAAAAATAATATCCTATTCTAATATATTTTTACAGACTTTCATTACATCTTGTGTAATAGACTAGAAGAGAAATCTTTTCTGATCTTGTGTAATGTATTTCTGATCTTGTGTAATCTTTTTTGATCTTGTGTAATGTTATTATTCACAGTACATATAGGTTCAGAAAAATACTATTCTTTTCTAATCTATTTTTACAGACTTCCATTACCTATTCCATTACCTTCACAGCATTTCACAGTCCTCTGGTTTCCAGAGAAAAATCCGAATTTCTCCATTATAGCAGTTTTTCACATCACACCACACCTCATTAGCATAAATAATTTCCCGGTTCATCTCACAAGCATAAATAATATCACGACACACAATAAAGGAACATTTTACTATTAACCTGATTAATTTCTTCTACATATTTCATACTAGAATTTAATTAATAAGATTTTTCTTTCAAATATTTTTGCACGATATATAAATATTCCAACTAGATGTTTGTCTCAGGTAAGATGCAGTCATAAGCAGGAAATAAACAAAGCAAATAGAGTGGAAATATCTAATGTATTCGTCCTTCGTCGCTGATATAAGACATAATTTTTATAACCCTATAAAACATATTTAACCATATAAAACATATTTTATAACCCTATAAAACCTATTTGACATAGTTTTTATAACCCATCTATGAATTTAATTGCCAGGCTTGATTGAGTGAAATTTTGAGAACACTTTATAAAATTAATTTTGCAGAAAAGAATTACTGACTGTGTATAAATATACTACTAATAATAATTTAATAACACAACAAAAAAAAAATCTTTGAGGTATTAACATATATATTTACAAATTTTCTTTAGCCACAGTCAATACAATTGATAGATTGTTGCTTCAGTGACATACTTAGGCTTATTTCTATGAACCCAACCTTTTTTATACTTGGGTCTAGAGTCGAAAGAATTACATTCATTTCATAACCAATGATGATCCTTTAAATTCTTACACAGAGGGAAAACTTTATTCACCCATATTATATTGTAGTAATTGGTAAAAGAATGTTTATAGTTTTATTCTATAATGGATAAAAACTCCTTTTCTCCGTTACCTATAATAGGAATAAAAGAAAATTCTAAGCTCAGCTTCAAGGATACAATCACGTATAAGTCTAATAAGACTACTTTTAAGTTCTTTTTTTGTTTCACATAAATGGAATCCCATATAATCTAATGAAGATGTAATGTGATTTCGAGTCTAAATGATTTTTTTTTTTTTTTTTTTTTTTTTTGTTTTGTTGTTCTTGTTGTTGTTGTTGACATTAATTCAAAGTAGTGATAACGTTTTCTTCTCAAACCTGCAAAGGTGTTGAACAACAAGTTTTAGTAGTTCTTTTTTTCGGTTTCAAGCAATAACATTGACTAACATTTCAAAGAACCATTTTTTGCTATATCTTTCAAAATTAAATTTGGTTTTTTAATCCATTAATTTTTTCCGTGCAAATTAATATATTCTCTAATGGTTATTGCTCTTTTAGATTCAAGTTAATTTAGGTATTCAAATACGTCAGCTAAGAAGCCATTTTTTGCAACCAGTAATTGTCTTGCAACTTAGCAGAATACTGAGTTACCCTCAGAAAATACTTATAATTCTTTTTTCAATTTATGAACTCTGGACAGAACTCCCCTTGCCGGTATCGCCCTACCCATTTCATCACTTTTCCTGCCACCTTTCAGCGCATAAAATGGTAAAAAGACACGACTGAAGTTGTCTCCTTTTGACCAGATTCATCATTTTTATAATGTCATTAAGAATTCCAGACTTATAACATTTGACACGAGAGCTGCTAGAAGTGCATTATTCGAGAATCAAAATTATCAGACCGAACTTCGGACTCCGAGTCTCTGACCTTCATTGCAGTCATGGTATCAGCAAATAAACTTACATAATTTTCCTATGACACTAAATACTTGTCATTTTAGTCATACATTATTACTAAGTATTCATTGATCCTTTTC